TCAAGTGTATATATCCAAACTCTGATTTTCGATAATGATTAATTGAACGAACCTAAACTATTAATCGTAGATATATTATTGCTATTGTATAATAGATAACGTGTCGTAGACATTTCTACTACGAGAGAACAAGAAAAAAAAAACCCCAAAAAAAAAAAAACATTCGCGTTATTATAATAATGCAAAAAATGTTCTCTCATACGAGCCTGATGAAATTTGATTATGCAAACTTCGCGTCAAAAGCATTCCTCATTATGTAAGCAAAGCACATGTATTTCACGCGTGTGTACCTAACACAGGTATACCTAAATACTACAAGTGTTCAACACATGCACATATATGCATATATACAGGTCTCTTTAGAAATGAAATTTTGTTGTTTTTATCTAAAAAAATATTGTTCATTTCTATCACATTTATATTAATAGTTCATCGTCTTTTCTTATTTTTTATAATTTGACTAAGGGTGCCGTGTCAAACGTTGCTGTGGCTCACAATTCATAGTATAAATGAAAATAATTGTAATAGGAAGTATATGTATATACTTTGAATATAATAGCACTTTAAAAGCGTATACAAGGCTGATAATCAAACTGACATAATAATTGAAGAGATTAACGCGATTATCTCATAACCTTTTGTGGTATTTGCAAGCTGAAAGCTAGTTCATTAGTCGCTTTTGAAGAACGCAGATTAAAGTACCGTCGTAGTAGAAATAATGGCCCTTCTAACACTAACAAACATAAAACAGACAAGTTTAGTAAAAGAACATGCAATTTCATTGAAAAGTGTCGTACAAGAGAAAACGATCCATGAAATAATTCTATTGTAATAAAAAAAAAAAAAAAAAAATATATATTTAAATAAAATAAACATATCGTCATATAACAAATGTATTCATTCTAACAATTAACAAAAAGATAAAGAAAATTTATGATATTGATAAACAAACACGTATTATATTTATTAATAAACGATCATATAAAAATTCATTTCATTTAATTGTTTAAACATTACATATCATATAAATGTATGTACTTTGAATAATAAATAATTTGCAATAGATTATTTATTAGATGAAAATTTGTCAACTCGAAGTTCATTATCGAACAGGAACATTAAAAAAATTAGTGTATCGCAATTGAAATAATCCTAGATACAAATAGAATGAATAATAGTATTAAATATTAATGTAAAAATTGTTAAATAATTGATACCTGTGTCTATTATTGTCTAAAAGTTCGAATTATTCGATCGTAGTACCGTCCTCTTCGAAATTCACCTTCAGACTGGCACGTTGTTCTATTATCAAAATACTTGTAGTCAATGTTGTTTATATGACTTTCTAAATGTTACGCATGTGTACTACGGTAATAATATTCATAATAAAGAACATTTAAGATTATAACGTTCTGATTTTAGTACTTTTTCCATTCTAACGTAATTATTTTATTGCTCATGCGCAGTGATGACACTTCGAAAACAAAAATTGCCTATAATATAAGTAGAAAAGTAGAATTCATTACAGTATTAAAATAATTGTTAATTAATCAATGAAAAAGTATATTTTTGTTTAAATTCATTGGAATATACGTTTAGTGAAGCATCTTACTCGAAATTCATTCATTTTATCATTTTTTCCATTCTAACGTAATTACTTTTATCGTTCATGCGCACAGTGATGACTTCAAGAACAAAAATTGCCTGTAATATAAATAGAATGCATTACAGTAATAAAATAATTGTTAATTAATCAATGATGAAGTGTATTTTTGTTTAAATTCATTGGAATATACGTTCAGTGAACCATCTTACTCGAAATTCACTTTTAAACTGGCACATTCTCATTTATAAAAATTCTTTTATTGAGTATGATCTAAATGACATTCTTAATACTTCAACGATAATAATATTCGTAATAAATAGAATTGTCCTATTTGAAAAGTTATATAGAAGTAATGTTTAATAAAATAAATGTTGATTGACTTTTTGAAAAGACAATGATTCAGTTCACTGTTTAATTTTGAAAAAAAAAGAACGGTACGTTGAACTTACATTCCTCTGCTTTTACTAATATAATACATTTTTACTAATTCATACATTTCTTTTTGTTAATTAACAATATTTCAAAATACGTTCAAAATACTCTTCTACATTTTACTTATATTTAGAATTTGTTTCAGTCCGGTGCAAAAAGGGTTAAAACTGAAATACTGAAGAAGAAAAGTAAAAGACAACATTTATTTAGTTCGCATATTAAAATCACATAATACTTATCTATATCGTAAAAGATGGGACATTTTACTTATACGTAGAGATTATTCTTTATTTGAAGTTTGCTTCGAAAGTAAATCTTGTATTAAAAAAAAAAAAAAAAAAAAAAAAAAAGAAATCGATTCGTTCACGTTGATACCAAGTTGACACGCATCGACAGATAGATGGATTTATTCTTTGTTTGAACTATGGGACCTTTAAAATCACGAGAGTACGTGTAGGTACTATAAAAGATCGAAAGAAATATATATACACACACAAAAAATCCGAATGTCCAACCAACAAAAGTTAAATTCGCGAATACGTCTATACTCGAATAAGTTGAAAATCAATGGTGGTAGTTTGAACAAATATTTTTACGAGATATAGATATATATATGTGTGTTAACTTAAACAAAGTAAACATGAAATAAACAAAAATGATCGAAGAAAAATAATTATTGAAAAATCTTATCGATATACTTGAACTGTATGAAACACTTAACGACACAGACAGACAGACAGACAGAGACATATATGATGCACGACGAGCTATGCGAATTGGTTGATAATTCAGAAACCACGGTTGTTGGCTGTCAACGACATTGACATGCATGTCACGTCATACTGGAATTATATCCCGTTACACCATAATGGTGACACGCGGACCGAACTTGAGGTTACAACTCTAGGAGCTACAGGAAATGAAGATGCCAGAACCCATTTCCGTTTAACTACGACAGAGAGAGAGAGAGAGAGAGAGTACTTTGAGAACGTCAAAGATAAATATATATATATACTTAAGTACTTACTTTAAGTACATTAATACGATCTTTGCTTGTTCTTTTTAACAATACGATATATAATAATAATAATAATAATAATGAGAATTGAGAAAAATCGTCATTATTTTTATCTCATTATTATTTAATATAAATATACGCATAAATGAAAAAAAAAACAACTTTCCAAACTGATAACAAAATCGTTATTATTTCAATGTTTTATTTGCATATCGTTCGAAACAGGGTAGAGAGAAAGGAGGAATACATTAAAACGAACGAGAATGGAGAATGTTTTGGTGTTGTTGGTTGTGTAGAATAAGCTTTTCGCATGAACTATAGAGCAACGAAATGGAGCGTCAAATCGGCCTGCTTGGCTTTCAAAACAGTTCAACCTAGACTACCCCTACCCCCAATCCTCTGGCCCCCTGGCCCCCTGCCCCCGCCCGCGTAGCTTCGGTCAAAGTGAATTCGACACAACAGGATACTCTCATAAGGATAACTTTATCGAAGCAATAAGAATTTTTGTATGTATTTTAAAACGTTCTCACATATATCTCGATGGGGGATTATTAACGTTAGAGTAGATTTTGATATTGATCCCCCCGTAACACACACACCCCCTGTGTGATGTTCAGTGATGTTCTGTGATTCTTGCATTTGTTTCTTTTCGTTCTTTTTTTTTTTGTATTCTTCTTTTTATAATGTCGATACAAAGAAACGATAGGAAATAAAATCTAAGTTCATGATATTTTATTATACTACGTTGGCAACTGTTGTAATGGCCGGCATGCGACGAATAGAAGGTGGAATAGGGCTGCATGGAAAATTCAAATCGTAAATGGAAGTGTGCAAACAATTGTTATCGAGTAACCGTTTTCATCGTACGCGAGCGACGAGTACAGTAGTTGAAGAATAAAAGCCGATCGATCTTGATGTAAACGTCGTTGCAATTGACGATTTTACTGTGCCATTGTACGTACGATCGTGTTTCTCTATAAAACGTGTCGTCGTCGTCGTCGTCGTCGTCTATCGAAGAAACCGACAAAAAAAAGTACTTAAATCGATAATTATGTAAACATCTTATCTTATATTATATTCATTTAAATTGTTCATATTTTTATAGACAATTATTTTCATAATATGTTGTAACGCGTAGTATCGCATTATTAATAATTATTTCTTTCATCGGACTGATTGTGAGCCACAGCAACGCTTGATGGGGCACACCCCTAGTTTATTATATATATATATATAGGATAATCGTTAAATGTGTGTGTGAATCTCAACATTGAGTTCTTTCTACAAATCTCTCGAGTTGTATCACGTGGAATAATTACGCTTACTATAATGGCACTTAAATTACTATCGTCATTAGTTAAGATACGTTCGAGGTACTTTCCTCATTCGTGAAAGTTTTCATTTCTATCGCAACACTTTATAATTTCTATTTAATACAATTTACTTTTGTTACGTTTCATTAATTTTGAACAAAATAAAAATAAAATTAAAATAAAAATAAAAAAACTAAAGTACATTTAAATAATACTAAACAATGGAAAACAATTATTAATTGTTCAATTGTATCATTTTACAATGATACGATTACGACCGCAATTGATAAAAATGTACTTTAAATGGTGATGGATTTTTAAATAAAATACAAATATAAATAAAATACAAAACAAAAGAAAAAGATAATAATAAAATGACCTGAATTATATTGACACCAATTAAATAATAATAAAATATAAATAAAAATGAAATAAAATGTTACATTGAATCTCATTCATAGCTGTCGCATTCACTTGGAACTTAATCTATGACACAACAGAGACACCACTTATCTTTATCAACTTTTATATAATTGGAAGAAACTTTTTTATTAAAGGATTACGTTACACGTTTAATGATACTATATTTTATACTTTATTATTATTATTATTATTATTATTAATTACTTACCGTTCGCCTAAGTACAGTCCTAACCGTCTCAACTTCCTGTCTTGTTGGCCAACGTGTGTAAACGACGAAACTGAGTAGAATAATGAAAACACCGATCCAGATTGTCCACGAAACAACATTTTTCGTTTTTGCTAATAGCTTTTGTGCAGTCCTAGTAGATATAACCTCTTGTGCTGGTATTTCGAGCTTTTGTGCTTTCCTTAAGATATCTTGCAATCGACGCTTTGCTTGTTCCACATCACGTACCCCCATTTCCCTTTTTATTTTATCGCCTCTCGATTAACTACCCTTTTTTTTTTATTTTATTTTTTATTTTTGGTACCCTTTAATCGTCCTCTTTTTACTACGAGTACAAAATATTTGTTCAATGATAGAAACTTAAAGAAATTCTAAAGTCATCGCATTTCATATTATTTTGTATTCTGAAAAAATTCATTTTTTTTGGTTTGTTTGTTTTTTTTTTTTTTTTAAACCATTCTCTCAATATTTCTCTCTCTCTCTCTCTCTTTCTCTTTCTCTTTCTCTTTCTCTTTCTCTTTCTTTGTCTAGTTGTCAGGATTTTATTAAATTTTCTATTTCAACTCGCCTGAAAGCATCTCTCTCTCTCTCTCTCTCTCTCTGTCTCTATTTCAGTCTATCCTCTCGTTTTATTCCTTTCAAAAATCTCAAATGAAAGTAATACATAAATGGAAATTTTTTTCTGCTTTTCGTTATTGGGTTAAAAAAAAAATAAAAAAAAAATAAAAATAAAATTTTAAAGAAAAAAAAAAAGAAAGAAAATATACAACGGAAATGATTTTTTATTTTGGTTTACCCAAAAGATTTATCCGAAAAATAGAAGAATAATAATTGATCGTTGATCTGATGAATCATATAACATGGAAAATCCATTTCTCGATCCTTCGTCTATAATCGATTTTGGAATAATACTCAGAACGCACTACAGTAATTACCTAACAATTCTGATATCGATCTCTCTCTCTCTCTCTCTCTCTCTCTCTCTCTCTCTCTCTGTGAAGATAATGCATACGGAAACCGATTCTAATTTCCAACCTAACGAAGATTCGACCCACTTTACTCGTAACCAGGATTAAAGGTTCATTCTCGCACGATGGACGTGTCAACGAATTCGCGACAGCTGGTTATTGGGTTGTTCAAAATCATTTTCCAATTCGTACTTCAACTTCGAATTATTATTTATTTTTTTTTTTTTTTTCGAGAAAAACCCTTCGCGAAAGTGTTTTTGTGAAAAATTCCACATTCTCTTTATCATTCTATCGTTCAATATTTTATACAAAATAACATGTGTGTGTGTGTGTGTGTATTAATTATGACGATAATTATATTAGTGGTTTAAGTTAAAAAAAAAAATAAAAAAATCTTCAACATCTTCTTCCTTGTTTTATATATAATTTTATTTTATATAATGAAAATAATAAATTGTATAAAAATGATTTAGATTTATTGTCATTTTCATTTTTGATCCATTTGTCAAACATCGTCATAATTATCAGCATTGTGTGCGTATATGTTACATATGTAGATGAAATTTCTTTTTTTTTTTGTAATTTTTATTCTTCTTATTATTAATTTTTTTTTTGTTTTTTTTTTTGGTATTTATTTCTACTTATTCTTTCAAGCTTTCGTTATAGATGGCGTGAAGAAAAAAAAAAAAGAAATCTTCGTCGAATCTTGAGAACAAGTTTTTTCCTTCTGAAAGTTTTAGGTAAAGAAGAAGAAAAGAAGAAGAAGAAGAAGAAAAAAAACATAATAGTAGCAGAGAAAGCACGGTTTATAATACTCTAAAAAGAACTTAACTCTCATGCAAGAAGAAAATATCTCGACGATCAAAGAACGAGCTAACTGTGAAAGCGTAGGAAAGGAGCTTCGTTGGATATGTTCGAATATATATTTTCCATTAAAACTAAGTTTCTTAAGCTCGACGAGTTTTCTTGAAATATAGTATACATATATATATATGTATAGAGAGAGAGAGAGAGAGAGAGGAAAGTAGCGCCCAGAGTAGCAAGAAGTATCGAAGCTGGAAAATTTACCGATTCTCATTAATTTTTACAAATCAACACGCGAATAAATTAAAGCTCGTTAATTAAAGTAAATAAACACGCGAGTATTTCGTTACGATATTTGAAATTCTTCGAGAAAAACTTTTACTCCGACGACGAAAATTTCCTTCACGATCTATATTTGAAAAAGAGACGTTTGCTAATTCGTTAGTATTCCCTTTTTCGAAAGACTAATTTTCAAGAGGGATCCTTTTCTATAATTACTGTATAAAAAAGTCCACCAAATCCTATAGAGAACAGAAACACTCCCTTTTCTCATTATATATATATATATATATGTATGTATAAAACCACACATGTTAAACAATTTGTATATAAATAATGAAACTTCGATTAAATAAATACACGTGTCCCTATACGGCATATCAAATAATTATTGGTTTTATTACAGTTAATAAATTCAAATGTTAACAATCGTTATTGACAATGATCCAAAAAACGATACGATTTAGTTTCAAATGAAATTTCACTTGAAAGTTAACGTCGATAAACAATATATATATAAATATATATTAATAACACATCGTGTCTCATTATCGGCCAAATATAGATCTAATTAATTAACAATGTTCCTTTCACAATGTTCACGAGAAATTAATTTTCAAATCTGTTATTAACAAACGCGCGGCGAGTTCAATTAATCAATCACTTTGAAAATTACAAAATAATGATATACATATATACATATACATATATATATCATTATTTTCTTATCGAGAGAGAGAAGAGAGAAGAGAGAGAGAGAGAGAGAGAGAGAGAGATTTTTCGAATAAACGAAAAACGAAATAGAAAAAGACAAAATAAATATATCTTTCAATATTTTTTCTTCTTACTACTAAATAAAATATTCTCTTGTATTCATTTATTAGAAATATTTGAAACACTTTTATTCATAGATAAATAAAATAAAATGTTGTGATATTTTTATTTTGTAAAAATTTGATGATTAATCAATTTTGTTAGTAAAAAAAAAAAAATAAATAAAGTGTATATTAATTAGTTGAAACTATTATTCCCGCGTATTCGCCATGACGACAGGTAGTCGTCGTGCTTTTGTGTTATGACGCGTCATCGAAGAAAACATGAGAGAGAAAGAGAGAGAGAGAGAGAGAGAAGGAAACTATGGCGTGCGCAGCCTTTCGATGCAAATTCACTAAAAACAGTGACGACTATTAGTTCCCGATCACGAGTCGACCCTGGACGGGCAAGAACTGTCCGACCTCGACAAGGGTAGCTACCCTTATAGATATAAGACAGATAGCTTGCGCATGTGCATTCAAATATTTGCGCATGCACGATTTAAACGGGCCGCACCGCATCTTCAACGTTGCAGATCCAAAGCTGCAGTAACGTTTGTACTGTTATCATTCAAAATGAATGTCTCGCTTTAGTTTACAATTTATTATTTTTTATTATATATTTCATATTTTATAACGAAAAAAAAAGAAGACTAAGTTTTGAGAGAATGAGACAAATGTAGATACTATCAGGTGTAGGATAATTGTAGGATTTATTTGTTATAATATTATTATTATTATTATATTGTTACAATATTCAAAAATTATTTTACGTTTTATTAACATATTACACAATAAGCAAGTTCTCAATTTGAAGAAATGAAATGAGTTGTTTATGGTAATTAAATACCTTTCTGCGTGTACAAAATGTACAAACTCTTTGAAACTTTTCTAATATTTTCTTTCTGCAGATTTTCACGACACCGTTTGGCAATTATTTTCGATCGAGAGATCGAGAATATCGTGAAACGCGTATAACTATATTCTGTCTCATTCTCTCGCAGGCTCAATCATATATGTTTGTCTCTTTTTCTCTTTTTATTTAGTATGTTAGCCGTTTCATAGCCGCCTATCGCTCCGTTACATTTTTTCAAATTACACCTATTCTATAGAAGTTTTCACTTAAAAAAAAAAAAAAAAAAGAAGAAATGTTTAAAACTTTCTCAACATATCCATCGACGAATAATTTTATCAAATTTGATTTAATGTAAATCTCGAAAAAAAAAAAAATGAAACAAAAATTAGCGTAGAAATTAACCAAAGAGTTTTCTCTTTTCTTTTCTATTCATTTCTTTATCTTTTTTTTTTTTTGTTTTTATGTTTCATTTATTAAAAAAAAAGAAATAATTCGAAAGACAAGATTTGTCCATTTCATTATTTCGTTTACTTGGAAATAAATAATACGAGATGTATACGAAGCAATTATTCTTCTCTGATCATGCGATGGACAACAATAAGAGTTATAAATGCGTAAGGCCAAGAAAACGAAGGAACGAAATAAGGAAGAAAGGAAGAAAAGGGATGAGAACGAAGGTAGGATAAGGGAGGAAGGAAAAATAATATTTCTCATGCACAGATCGCGTTATATGAAATTGATGGTAAGGATTTCCGCGTGCTCAATCACCCGCAAAGATAACGAGATCGTTAATTAGCGTACGAGTTATGTTTTCACAAAGGGGAGAGAAAGAAAGAGAAAGAGAAAAAGAAAGAGAGAGGGAGAGAGAGAGTGTTTCAGAACAATGGCGAGAGAGTAGAGAAGAAAACAAACGTAAAAAGAGATGAATATTTCTATATTGTGCATGTTTTAAAATGAAATACTATAGTTTTCTATAGAAAATAGAAAAACATAAACAATTTGGAACGAACTAATACACCATAAGAAAAATTCAGACAAACAAAGAGAAGAAAATCAGATAGAGTGACGAAAATTTGAACAAAAAAACAACTTTGAACTCTTGCGAATAGGAATATGTACTAAAGTTCCTTACTTACGACAATTCTCGTAAAGTTAAATGAGGAAGAAGATAACAGGATCTTTTAATTAGTGCGTGAAATATGATGGGAAGTAAATAAAAAAAAAAAAAAAAAGAAGAAAAAATATTTGCAGTCCTTACATAGGACATTGAAACGAGCGAGTAAATGTTTCAAACCTTTTTAACTGTTCATTCTTCTTACTGTGTCAATTTTTATTACCAACTGGTATAAAAGTTCATTAAAAAAAAATAATTAATAGTCAATTAACGAGTAACATCATCCAAGATGTACGGAAATAGAAATATTTTGATTTATTTATTCTATTTTGGAAATTTATCCAAGTCTCCAATAATTAATGATGACAAATTTAGAAAAGTCTATCGAAGAAAAAGAAAATGAAATGTATGAATAATTAAAATGGAAAATTCAATAGAAGACATAATAATGATAATAAAAAAAAGATCATAAATTAATAAGAATTAATGATGAATGTTTCAATTAAAAGAAATGAAATAGAAATGAAAGAAAAAATAAAAAAAAAAGAAAAAAAATAAAAGACGTGACAATACAATGTTCTTTAAGATAAAAAAGGGAAAAGATAAGCAAAGTGAGTCGATCAGTATGCTAAATTCTAATCTAACAAAAGGTTAATCTACTGTGAAATCATGGCAGACAATGAAACCACATGTATCACGGATTTTGAGAGAGAGAGAGAGAGAGAGAGAGGGGTAAGAGACACGCTCGATGATATAAAAAAAAAAAAGAAAAAAAATACAGAAAAAGAGAGAGAGAGAGAGAGTGAGAAAAAGGGGGGAAAAATAAAAGTAAGTAGATTGTATAAACGAGTAATACGAAGAATGAATGAAAGAAAGAAAGAAAGAAAGTCTGTGTGAAATAAGTGGCGGAAAGTGCGCGAAAAAGTGGCACACTGGAGTTACCTTGAATGTAAACGAGCTTCATCGAGTTTAACGTTTCAGAAAAAAGGAGGATACATAAAGAAGAGTAATGTAAAGTAGAAAACGATGCTGGTGAAAAATCGGAGCAAAAGGAGCAAAAAAAAAAAAAAGAAGAAAAAGAAAAAGAAAGAATTACGATGATATAAACCTTCGAGAGCGATCTTATGGATTAAATATTATTTTAGTTTTTTTTTTACAATAAACGAAACTAATAATACTTATATATATGTACCTATAATTATAAAAGTGGTCTAACATAAGTCATGTATCTCTTGTTTCGAAATATTTAACACGTTCGTCGCCCAGCTCGTTTCGATTGAGTTTCTCGCAAGGCCCAAAATTCGACTGTCGGCGCGCCGTAACGTAAAGTAGCCATAAGTAGAAATATCAATAATTTGACCCGAGTATTATTGTTATATATATTTACTGAAAATAATAAAATATAAAACTTCAACAAGAAGAGCGTCACCGTATATAGTGACATGGTGACAAACGTGTTAAAAATATCTATTTGAACACAATATTGAAATAACAAAATATTATCTAACGAATCATTTTTAACAATATCGTTTTCAAATTCCATTGAATTTATTCAATTTATATGCGTAACAACTGATAAACTCATTTTTTGATTAATTTTGACTTACTTAGACCACTTTCATAATTATGGACACATGAAAAGAAAGAAAAGAAATTTCAAAGTGAAGACGATCATGTTGTTTCTCGATCATGGCCAATATCAGTACTCGAATAAGTCAGATAGTTTGTCAGTAAAGTGCCAAAAAGATCTACGACCAGTTGAAACGAGTCTTTATGCGTTCTAGACGGTCGTTTATTACCTAGAAAGGTCGATGGATTGAACAGAGTTAGGATAGTTCATTGCACACAGTCTGGAGATGCCTATCGTTTTAAAACATAGTATTGCGCATACTTTCTTCTCTACGTTTACCCTATTATATACTTTATCTTTTTAATCTTCTACCTTCTTTATCAAAAGATACAAATCTTCAAATATATTGGGTTGCTCGGAAAGTAATTTCGTTGTTTTTTTTTTGACACAATAAAGACAAGTTAATTGATACAAACTGACAAATGACAACACGTGAGATTAATGAAAAATACAATTTTATCAAATTCAACTGTTTATGCTTACTTGAAAGGTCTAGGTTTAACCTCGAAACAAATATTGTCTTCATTTTTACACAAAAAAAAAACGAAATTACTTTCCGAATAACCCAATCTATATATAAATGACGTGACACGTTGTTTGTCCGCAATGGATTGCTAAACTACTGAACCAATTTGAATAAAATTTTACACACTGTATGCAGTTTCATCTAACTTGAAAGATAGGATAGTTTATATCTCAATTTATAATTGCAATTGACTTAAAGACGTGTGTATCGGACTGATTATGAACCACAGCAACGCGTGGCAATGCACCCCTAGTAATTAAATATAAAAAGTCACCATTTTTGATATATTGAATTGAGTAAAAAAGATCAAAAGTAAATTGTGATGAATACGAGAGTCATAAAATTTGTCTCGTATTATAAAGAGAAAGCTTATTGTTTTAAAAAAAAAAAAAGAGCTACGACTTATGTTAAGGTGAAAAAATATTAAAAATCATAAAGAACTTATGTCGTTATCCTTTTCGCGTGAGAATAGATCGTTGTCGTTTGTGTGTCACGTATGGCTCGTGTATTATTGTTATGCTCATACACCATCACACACACATACTTATATGTATGCAAGCATACACATTGCGAATTGAGAAGATTTGGCTAGCACGATAAGAACTTTCACAAAGTTTTAAGAAGAGAAACATAGAAAAGCGAGAAGAGAAGACATAAATTTTTTTTTATTATCAAACTATAACTTTGCTTGATATGATTTATATGTATGCAATATTCTAGTGTGTGTATAAATATATTTATGTGTTAATAAATTTTTAAATGATCTAATAAGAAGAAAATGATATATCATCACACGAAGAAATTTTTGTTCAATGTAATTTCATATCTCGAAATGAGATTTGTAAAATGTAATTCATATTTTATAAAGCTGCTTTTTGTAATAGCCTACTCAAATATATGAAACTTAAAGTAGAAAAAACGTCGATGTGAATGTGATGTGGCAAAAACCTTTTCTTTTTTCATTTATCTTTTAATTAATAAAACATTGAATAAACAAAACAACAAAAATAACTAACTCAAGATTAAATTCATTGTTTCGTGTTCAACGATAGAATTTTTCTAATTTTCGTTTTTTTTTTGTTCATTTTTAATCACTGATACCTTCGTTCCTTTGACTATTATTAATTTTTAATTTTTCATTTTTTATTTTATTTGAAACTTGAGTTTTTAGGACATCTGTGTACTAACGTGTATCCTTTCGTTTTGGCAAAGAGCCCAAAATCAAGAGTAGTAACCTTAGTCATCGCTTTTCAGTTCTTGGTTGTACCCTTCGCTTCATCATGGTGTTTGAAAGTGGAAAAGAAAAATAGGACAAGTATTTGATAATATTTGAAGAAAGGTAAAAGAAAAGCAAAGATGGTAGTAGCCCTTCGTTTAATTTGGCGCCAGTTTGTTTACCCGTACAGTGCAGTGACTTGCATTTTATCAAAAAAAAAAAAAAAATACACCTCCATTCCTAACTCGCTAGTTTTTGCCAATACTTTATTATCTTTGTTTTAACAACAAACTAAAAAGATATATGTGTTCTCTTTTTTTTTCTTTCTTTAAATTCATTAACTTTTTAGATAAAGATTTGTCTGAAAAAAATAAAAAACGTATTATTTTGGTCGGTAAAATGTTTTCTTCAGTAGGTACGTAACACATTGATGGTACAATACTATCAAAGAATACTGTATCATTGATTAATTTCAATTTTTAAATATTTACTCTTTTCATATTAAATACTAAATATTATTCTAAAAATATGCTATAACTAATTACAAGATTAAAATTAAATTTGTATCATTATTTAGAAAAAATATTACGCCTGTTGGTATGCAACCCTCCAGACACACTTTGAAAATGTTGCTTGCGAGAGCCATCTGTTGGGATGGCAATTTTTTTCAATTTAAACTGATCATACACGTACGTATTACGGGTTATCTATCTTTCGGGCAGAATAAAAAATTCCGTCCCAACAGGTGGCGTTCGCAAGCAACATTTTCAAACTGTGTCTGGAGGGTTGCATATCTACAGGCGTAATATGTTTCTAATTATTAAATAAATAATTAGAAACAAAATACAAAGTAATATTATAATAATAAAATATTCTACTCCTGATAAATATGCACTCGTTACATTCTCTCGAAATTTGATTTATTAAATGTTTCACTTCTAAATTGTGTGATCCGCACACACGTTTTCTTTTTTCAAAGAATAAATTATTGTAATTTCAAGCACAAGCTTTTTTTCTAATCCTTCATCTACGTATCATTTGAAGAAGTCTAACATTGATTATGAATTCATTTATACTACTCTTGTAAAAATGTGTATGATTTTTACAATCACGTTTCTAATATATATATATATATATTTTTTTTTTTTCTTGTTTTATTACAATAGATATTATTACATTACGTGTAGATGAATTTGTAATAAGAATTACCCGTATCTCTCACTTCTCTTAGCGTTTTAACCCTTAAAGTGGACACTTGGTAAAAGTTAGTTAAAGTGCACTGTGGGTGTTTGACACCCCGAACGTGTTTGAACGCATCTTCTGAAGCCGCTATTTTAATATTTAGACCTGCGCAATTTTTTTCAAAAGTAGTTTGATACATCTTTTTTAAAATAGAATAGGTTTTATAATTAACTGAATTAACACTAGATGACATTAGACAAATAACCCATTTTTTTCAAATTCAGTACCGTGTATCGAGAGATCAAAAATTTGTTAGGGGTGTCAAACACCCCATGTGCACTTTAAGGATTAAATACTTTTTTGTTTGTCTTTAATGATTAAATCAAATATTATATATATATATATATATATATTGTTCAGAATGTGTGTATGCGTGCAATAAAAATCGATTAACGAAACAAAAAAAGAAAAAAAAAAAATCGGAAATTCGATTAATGTTTTATTCGTTCACACAATAATGGTGGCACAAATATACGATCGAAGAATAATATAATATAACTTTGTATATATATATATATATCGTCATAATGTGTAGCTTTCATTCAGTCTTAAAAATAGCAAAACATTACAATTATCATCTGCTTTTTTCTTTTTTCCACTTATGTTTTGTTTATTAATTTTTTTTTGACTTTGTTTTTTTCTTGCTTTCTTCCTTCACACTTAAAACATATACTCGATTTGAAGTATCGATGATAATCGTGTCCTTGCAACAATATTGTTCATTCATTATAATAATAACAACACTTACGTTAGAGGGAATCATTTTTTGATAGATTATGTTTCTTTGATGATTTCAACCTCTCTCTCTCTCTCTCTCTCTCTCTCTCTCTCTCTCTGTCCCAATGAGAATCACGCGAGTATCTTTTCGATGTTACGAATCATCATTTCATCATTTTTGATTGGTCAAAGTGTGAAGCAATTATATATATATATATGCCAAATTTTGTTGTTGATAATAAATTATTGTCAAACGTATAACTATTCCTCGCGTTAAAAATTGATAATGCGTATCTTAAGCATAGGAACCACAAGATAGTCAATCATAACGTAAGGACGACTTCGTTTTAGTAATTTGAACTCTTTTTTTGTTTTTCTTCTTCTTCTTTTTTTTTTTTGATATGGATAATTGTATAATATTCAATGTTTTCCATTCATACTTTAAACACACTCAGAGCACACACAGATAGGCAAACATACACCCGAGCAAGCACACACACACGTCGACGTGATATATTATCTTTAATCGAAAAAAAAAAAAAAAAAAAAAAAAAAAACAGAAAATGATTTCCACGTAAATTTTCTTTTACATGAGAAGATACACGGCGGACACATTAATTAATTTACATCATTATTTAAACATTCACAAAAACGAATAACGAGGTACATTTGGGTTTGCCTTTGCGTCATCGAAGAAGGGACAACGATCATCAAATCTTGTCAATACTTTTTTGTAACATTTGTAAGAAATGATAAAACCTTGTTTTGTTGTTCATTTTCTTTTTTTTTTTTTTTTAACAACACCATCGTATTATTATTTTTTTTTTTAATTTAGGCCATTTAAAACGCGTTATAAGCTCGTTTCTTTTTTTTTCTCGAAGCCCTTTCAGGTACCGCACATTTAAATTATCATCGTTAATCCGTTACGACAAAAGATATATTGTGGACACATCTTGAATATTTGTTGTTGTTCTTTCTTTCTCTTACTATATTGATTTTCAAACTGCGAGCGATGATAATGGAAGAATTTTCTTGATCGAATTCATAAAAGACTAGCATAGTCCACAATAACACGTTTAACGATAACTTCTTCTCTCCCTCAGGACAAATAGTGTTATCAACAACACACTTGTTTTTTTTTTTGTTTTTTTTTTTTTTAACGACGATTGATCATTTCTTCGTTAAAAGTCATGAAAAGTTTAGCGCGAAATCTGAACTAAACTTATAGGTCTAATAATTTAATAAACAACAGATTCATTCATTTTTATATATCGTCATACAATTCATACCGAAAATGTACTTTCGGTAAATATCTCCCCCTCTCGCCCGTTTTTCTTTTCTCAATATTATTCTATTTCATTAGAAATCGCAATCACTGTACAACAGACCATTATCCTCGTTCAAACTTATAACAAATTTGTGTGTCTCATTTGATCGAGGAATAAACAAAACAAAATAGAAAACAAAAGACATGCCTCAAGCAAGATTTCGACCACCATCCTGTAACACGAATTCAACTTCGGTTTGCAGATAACGGAACTTTCTTATTCTTGATCTGATCCACTCCGCCAGGAGCAACCAGAGAACTTTGCCACGTTCCCTGAAATATCGTCGAGTCGATCCGTCCGTATTGACCAAGTATGGTACAGCACGATGACCATGTTCGCATGTCGTCGGCTGCACGTTCGACAACAACGATTCCCACGGCGTGTCGTGCCGGCTTTCGTGAACCCCGACCCTCCGCTACAAATTTATTTAACCCAATTCTATCTATTTCTAAATCTTCTTTTCATTTTTTTGTATTGCTCTCATTGAAGAAAAACAAAATCGCTACCTTGGGCCGTGTAGAATTACATCACACCTTCCACAATAGTAGATGATTCGTTGAATCCTCCCGACCAGCCTGTAATTCAGCTGATGCTTGGGGTCCTCTGAAATCCTCGTACCCGTCGCCACCGGATATCACCAATAGCTTACCGCGATTGATGTTATTCTGATGGACTTTCTTCGATTTCAATGAGTATCGATTCACCTTTGGTCGTGGTTCTGGTTTCGATGTTGCACTGGTTTCTACGTATGTTAGAAACCGCACGTGTCCCGTGTGTCCGTGAGGTATTCCTTTGAGAAAAGAAGAAGAAGAAGAAGAAGAAGGAAGGAGAGAGAGAAAAAAGAAGTTTTCGTTAAAATCTCAATTACAAAAAGGAGAAAGATAAAGATCCGCGAGAAAGCTCGATACCAACCAGTTACTATAGGAGGTTGAGATATTCTTTGCGTGGATGGTTTGATGTGAGGTATTGGTACGGTTAATAATACACCAGCACTTGTACCGATCCATAACAACTCGTTGCAAGCCAATAATGCGGTCACTCTAAGACACGCTGCTTTGTGCTGTCTTATTATGTCATCGCAACCTGCAACAAGTTTAATGTTTTCGTTAAAATAAATATCGTTGAATATATGACAGATATTTATCGATTTGAAACATCTATTCATTATATTTAACGTTAAAGATTTAAAACTTACTAGCAAGCATCTTTGTAACGGCCGGAGCAATATTTATATCCGTCAAACATTCGTAACTACCAGCGTGGAATAATCGAAGTACAGCACTGTTGTGCAAAGAAATCCATACGCCAAAACCACCAGAGTTTGCCATACAAGTGACAGCTCGACTTGTGTCACTGCTTACCGCAAAATTATGCTCGATGTCTAAGGTACGCGTGTTGAGAACTTTTACGGAATTATGACAACCGCACCAAAGTTTCCCAGACACCGGAAGCATCTTCGTTACTGGAGATGCCGCGGTACCAACAGACACTATCGTTGGATCTGAAGTATTCCAACCTCCTGCTGAATGAAAAGAAATAATCGTATTTTCAAATTATACTCATTATCAAGGTCTCTTAACGATAAAATCATTAGATCTAAAGACAAACTCTTTTCTTACTATGATCTCGCGTGTATACAGCTATATCGCCATTGGCAAGTGACACGAATACTTTATTGTCCAAGTATCTATAATCGAGAAGGGTATCGAGTTAATTATAGGCATAACACGCGCGTCATTACCAGACACTTTTTCCCCCTTTCCTCTTAAGGATCGACTTACATGATACAGTGCACGCTGCTACCATGTTGAATCTTCACCTTGTTCTTTTTTATTCTAATATTGTCGTTACAATTATAAACGTGAATGCAACCATCTTCCGTCCCTAACCACATGGTAGGCTGATTGGCATCTTCCTCAATGACAGTTGCGTTATCGATATTAGAAACGTCACCACTCAAGGTCACGCTACAAGTATCCACACTTGGAATGTCGTCCGAGTCCGACTCGTCGGAGCTCGAGCTGCTGCAACAACAACAATTAATATAATCAAGCGAACCTAATTTTTTGTGTCAATCATATCAACAAGAAATATCGATTTTTTTTACCTGTCTAACTGAATATTACCGCTACCGGAATCAACGTCTTGCACGGAAATACTGATGCCACTTTTACTATTAACAAACGTGTTGCTATTCGTTGCGGATGAATGTGAACTAATACATAGAAAAAATAATGAACATTTGAAACTGAATAAAACACGAGATAAACTGCAATACAATAAAAGGTAACACACATACCCAGGAGTACAAGCAGGTATACCAGCAACGCAAAGTATTCTAGCGTTACAAACGCCATTACAAGATGTAACTTGTGGTGGTTCAGGACTCAAACTTAGCACGCAAACTTGACCAACGTATCCATCGCTGTTACAAACCCATACGTCACGAGATTCTTGTCCATTCGATAACGTGGGTGCAGCACAAGTAAATTGTAATCCTGCACGTGTTTTTCTAATAGGTAAAGGACCGACGAATTCTGGACAAAGTCTTCGATCGGCTGACAATGCTGAAATGTATACCGTCAAAATAAATAAAAATAAGTTTCGGCTAGAAAAAAAAAACCAAAAAAACCAAAAAACCAAAAATACAAAAATCACTTAACTCACCCAACTTTTGTTTGGCTTCGTTGAAACTTTCTTCCCAGCTTGCTCTTTTGTCGGGCTTTGTGAAGACAACGGAGATATTTTCGATACCAGATCTGTTAAAAAAAAAAAAAAAAGTACGATATAATAAATTGTATGAGAGAGAAAAACAAGAGCAAACACAAGAGAGATGTTTTAGTTAAAGAAAATATTGAAAATCGATTTACTGCGTGTTCAGAGTTAATTCTAGACAAGCTAGCTGAGAATGTGCGGCGTTTCTTTCGGCTAGTTGCCTTTGCGCTTGACACAACATATCCTTGATCAGATCCTCGAGTTGTGTTTTATTCCCGTGTAACGTAGCAACGAGTTCTTGCAATTGGCTCAATGTGGCGCAATCCTCACGTAGATGATCCACCTCGCGTGCCATTCGTCTGAGATTCTCGTCCTTGGCTGAGAAGTAAAGATCGATGGAGACCAGCTGAGATATATTCGTCGTTCTAACGAATGATCCCTTTCTAATATAACTCATTCAACATTATCACTAACTAATTATATTTTTTAATGAAACGATACCTTTCATCACCTCGAGATCGTCCAATGGTATTCTCATTAACATTTTGTATTTGTTAGCTTCCAATAGACTGACCAAACTGTTCGGGCAAGAACTCCTATCGATAGAATCGATAATTAATCATCTATGTCGTATTTTATATTAGATAAGATAATGCATTTTAATCTTTGCTTATCACACCTGGGGTCCAAAGGACCCAGACCTTTTTTGCAACTCAATTTTTAGTACTTAAAGCAAATGATAGTCGGTCTACTATACCATTTCTCAATAATTGAAGAGTCTAACCTCCCTTCAGACCGTTTTGCGTAACGTTAGAGCCTTTAGTTGGGCTTTTGGCAGCTTTTGAAAAAGTGGTCTGGATCCAAAGTACCCGGATTTGGTAAGCGTGTTACTCCCAGGGAGGTGTGGTAAGCAAAGGTTAATGGAATGTATTATACTATGTACTTACGTCGATGGTTTCCTTATTGTACCACTTCGTCTTTTGATACTAGTAATAACCAATAGATCGGAAAACAAAAATAGTGCTCGTTCCTTTCTTGTGCCCTGGTTCGATGCAATGGTAACCAAATCGTGACGGACGAACGCTCTGTCAGGTTCAATAACAACAAAAAGAAAAAAATGAACAAAAAGTAATGTATCGTTATTACATAAGTTCTTTTTCACTATTTTTTGTCCTCTCTTTTTTCTTTTTATTATTTTTCCACGAGCATAGACAAATGAATATCGAAAATCGATGTTAAAACTCGTTCATTGGGAAAAAATCGGAACGGTTAAATAAAAAAAGGGATGATATTATATTTAAAAAAGAAAAAAAAAAGGGCTCGTGGATAAAACGATCAAAAGAATTGAAATAGAATGGTCGATCTCGTGTATCGCGACACAAACAAAAACAAAATGTTTATTTAAAGAAAATAATATTAAAATTATGATGTGATAAAAAAAAATAAAAAAGATATAATGTAAATTCAAACCTGTCGTTAGTAACGATGCCCGCTAGACCTTCGACAAGGGCTTGAACCTCTCTCAATGTACTTTGCTGTTGTTCCCATTCGAGAGATTCTCTCTCCGTGCAATTGATCTTTACGACCAATTCATGAACTTCCTTTTGTGCTGCCTGAAGATATTTGTAATCTGGATGGGCCGAATCGGTATGCTTGAGAAGTCTTTGAATTAAAAGCTCATAACGCGGTATCTTTTGTACAGGTTTAATCAACAATTGATCCAAACCAAGCTTTCCTTTGTGTTCACGTTCCATCGTCTAAGAATTCAAACAAAATAAACTCGTATACAATTTTGTATTTATCTTACGTTTTCTACATTGATGAGAATGAGAGAGAAAAAGAGAGAGAGAGAGAGAGAGAGATTATAGGTAATTAAAGTTTACCTCGAGAAATCGTGCGAAAGCTGGTTTCGCTTGACACGTTGTTTTAATCGCCTTTCTCGCGGATTTCCAATTGTCCAAGAAAAGTGTGTACGTCTCGAGTACTACTGGCTTTGTAAACTGTACAAATCAAAAAAAAGCAACAACAACAAGTAAAATTGTTTGTTCTTTTTTTTTTCTTTTTAATTACCACATTCTTCTTCAGCATTTTTTTTTTATTTGTTATAATAATAATAATAATACTCACTACTTCTAAGAAAACGTCACCTATCGTTTGCCTTATTTCCCAAGTGTCCAAACGTTTTCGTAACTCTTCGAGAAATATTTCGTGATGGCTAAGAATCGCTGGTATCTATGAGAAATATTTTGAAAAAAAGAATAAAATAAACTAATTTTTAATAAATTTTTTGTTTTATCACAAAAAAAAAAGAAACAAATTCTTTATATACATATATATATATATTTTTATTTTAATATTGGAAGTCAAGGGTCACTTGAAGAATGTGCGCATTGTGCACACATCTGAATGCATTTTAATATCAGTTACGATATGCAAGAGGGGGAAAAAAATATACATTGTGGCCTTGATAAAAAAAAAAATACATATATGCATATACTAGGAGGCCCCCAGCCAGGCGTTGCTGTGGCTCACAATAAGTCCGATACACACGTCTTTAATTCAAAAATTTCAAACTTTTTGAAATAAGCTGTAACAATCTGAACCATTTTGATGAAAATTTTTCTTATAATAAGAATTTATAAATGAAAAATTAATTAAATAAACAACTTAAATTGGACCGAATAACCGAATAACGCTAAACTATTATCGAATCTACCTTAAGACACACACAAAATTTCATTAAAATCGGTCTAGCCATTTAGAAGGAGTTCAGTGACATACACACACACACAGAAGAATTATATATATTTATTTTCTGTAGTATAGTCGTCATATAGTATCAAATCAAAATTGTACATATAAAAAATTTATTTGAACATAGTATAATGGACCAATGATGATATTATTTAATTGGCTATCTGTTAAGTAAAAATACTCGTTATATATCTATAATATTAATTATATCATCGTTGTTATAACGTCCTTGTATTTTCTTTGTAAAATAATTTAAAACGAGGACACGCGTACTCACTTACCTGATAAAATATCTCATCCACCGTAACAGCGTCCACCAAGCCGGCATTCTCTGGACTCTTCAAAGGCTGCAGATATTTCTGGAACAAAAATCGAATTTTGTTTCGCAATATTCTCCCTTATAGGGTAACGACGTCGAACGAATGTGTATATGTGTGTGTATGTGTGTGCACAAATACATACGTATTGAATCACAGTTCGATGTGATTGTTATTATTTCTGGATAAGTGAAATAATCCTTGATATGTTTGTAATAAACGAATAAGATGTAAATAATTATAAGAGAATTAAAAAAAAAAAACAAAGATAAAACAAACTTACGTTTGAATTTACGATTCGTTGCAAGTTATAAAGTATAATATATGTTCGTATATGTGCGCATGTGTGTGTATGTGTGTGTGTATGTGTCACATGGGGAAAATCAATTGCTCGTAGGGGTTAATGAAGTGCGAGGAATGCGGTGTGACATTTTTTGTTTCTTGTACATTTTTTTTTTTTTTGCTTCTTTTTCTTCTTCTTCATCTTCTTCATCTTCTTCTTTTTTGTGTATAACGAGAGAAGAAAAATGATGCTTTAAATTGCTCTTACGTGGATTTATGAGTTTCAAAGGTTCTTTTTATCGGTCCAATGGATAATAAAGAAACTGAATATGTATATAACGTAATAGTAGTAGTAGTAGTAGTAGTAATAATAGTAGTTGTAAATAGTATATTCGTAAAATAGTAAAAGTAGAAAAAGAAAGAAAACTGTGAACTACATCAACGAGACGAGAATAAACAACATTTTCGACACGCCATTGAAACGTTAAACGAAAGGGTGGAGGGAAGAGTAAAAAAAAAAAAAGAAGAAAGTAATGGGTCGAGAAGAATGATACGAAAGTGTGGGAAGAAAAAAGAAAAATGACTCTCATTGGATTCTATGTTTCTAGATCGTTAATCAGTCGATAATGTGTGTGTGTGTGTGTGTGTATGTGTGTTACATTGAACTTTATTTTCAACTACGAAATGTCATTTGAGTCGTTTAGCGCACACATCGATTAATTCCATAAAACGAAAAGTTGTGAAATGCGATGAAATAATGTATATTGTTATTTAACACGTTCGTCACCATGGCATCGTATACCGGAGACGGGCATACTTCTCCGGAGGCCTCGTCACCGTATACGGTGACGCTCTTCTTGTTGAAGTTAGAGTATTTTTATTTTAGTTGGACAAACTTATCACATTTCCCATTTCAAAAGAAAATTATTATTTTCGGTAAATAAACGATATAGTTTTATATTTTATTGCAATTATAAATTGAGATATAAACTATCCTATCTTTCAAGTTGGATGAAACTGCACACAGTGTGCACAATTTGATTAAAATCGGTTCAATAGTTTAGGAGTCCATTGCGGACAAACAACATAATTTATATCTATTCAGAAGATTATTTTCGATAAATAAAATTTAAAAATATAATATAACAATAATACTCGGGTTACATTGTTAATATTTCTACTTATGGCTTTTAAGAAATTTCACAACACGTTCGTCGCCCAACCGAAATTTGGGCTGGGCGACGAACGTGTTGTGAAATTTCTTTCAATGGGCCAACAAAATTTTGTCGTTTAAATGGTGTTAATCTTAATTATTCAGAAAAGTTATTATAAATATAAAAAATTATGACGACAATGCCAAGTGCTTTGACACTTAAATTGAAGATTTTTCAAAAAGTCAAGTTAATCAATGTGTGCACTGAACGACTCATTTTATCAGAAGAACGATAAATATCGTTTAACTTAATATTATTTCTTCTTCGTAATGACGTGAGGAAACTATAGATATAAAAAGAAATAGAAAGAAAAATATAATTCAATGTATCACGACAAAGTATCGAGAAAGAAGAAAATAAAAATATCTATAAGTAAGTTTTGTTAGGTGTACACAATAAGGGTGGTTCACGTTTACACCCTTTATCTTTGACCTTTAACGCTTTAAAAAGCAAAACCATACCGTTGTCGTATTGCACGAATGACTTTGTAAAAAGGAACAAAAAGGGGGAGTAAAAAGAGAGAGAGAGAGAGAGAGAAAGACAGAAATCATTGAGTTTATTTTTCCGAGTTTCAACCTATATTTCTCTCTCTCTCTCTCTCTCTCTCTCTTTTCTTTTTTTTTTGTTTTTGTTAACGTATTTTTTCGTTATTGCCTTGGAGAATCCAAGCGACGACATGAAAAATTCGTAGCCTCACAGTTTGAGCAAGGCCATCATCGAAATAATAGATCCTCTCTATGCGTGTGTGGGTGGTGGTTACTTGGGTGTTGTTTAGAAAATATGACAATCAAATTCAACTAGGAATGTTAGATATCGGTCTGGTGCGAAATTTAGAACAATTTTTTTTTTTAGCTTAATGTAATAAAATGATATCTTCCAAGAAGAAGAAGAAAAGAAAAAGAAAAGACAAAAAGAAAAATCTCAATGATTAAATAGAAATGTATTTTGATTTTGTAACAACTGTCTCGAAGAATAATGAAAAGAACGAAAGAATTATGTGATGGTTAAAAAATAATGGGGGAAAAGGGTGGAGGGACTTTACTTAGAACGAAAACGTTTAACATTTTTTTCTATTTTGCTATTTTTAAATGTTCATATCTCAACGAACACAAATGACATATGTATGATGGATGTCATAATATGCAATTGAATGCAGTCGATGGTAAGATAATAGATAAATAAATTAACTAACGTTTCAAGAGAGAATCTGTGTACAATGATAATCGATGCTGGATTCTATTACAAAAGAAAATGTATATATCTATATGTGTGTGTGTTATTATCGATAATTCTTTCATTAAAATGAAATGCGTTTCAATATCATTTAATCATATCTCAAATGATATTATGTTAATATTATATTATAATACTAGGGGTGCTCCGCCACGCGTTACTGTAGCTCACAATTAGTCCGATACACACGTCTTTAAGTCAAAGAATTACTTTATATCGCCTTATTGCGATTATAAATAGAGATATAAACTATCCTATCTTTCAAGTTGGATGAAACTGCACACAGCGTGTAAAATTTGATTAAAATCGGTTCAGTAGTTTAAGAGTCCATTGCGGACAAATAAACGTGACACGTAATTTATATACATTAAGATATAATAATTATTATACTTACATTGACTAGTATTTGCAAAGCCTCCACGTAGGAACGTTCGGTATCATAAAGTTCTACGACTACATGAGTTCTCGTGTCCTAAAACATAATAAAATAATCAAATTTAATAATTTATCGAAACATATACAGTACAATCATTTTCATAAATATTACTATATGTGTAGAGATTGACAAAAAAAAAAAAAAAGAATAAAAATTGTTTATTCGTTTGGAAAGAATCTTTGAGAAAAAAAAGATCATCCCAGAAGGAAAATTCTACTTGAGTGGACCTTTTATCATAATCTTCTTGGATTAGCTGCAGTCGTTATTTTTCGATGGAACGTGACCTCGTATACCTATAGGAAGTTAGAACTACACGTGCGTATTGTACATAGGTAACAGGCGCACGTGCTGTACTGCGCCACGTGTAGGTCAACGAAATTTATGAATTATCACGAAGAAGTGTATCATTTCTTGAATTAAAGATTAATTATCAAATTATTCGATCTACTGTTAATAACTAGACACAACGATTTACGCGTTGCATTTTCTCAATTAAAATTAGAAATTACATCGAGAGAGAATAAATTTTAATTGAAATAAATGAAATGAGATTTTTTCTATTCCTTTTAGTATCGATTGAAATAAATTACTTATATAATATATCTATATTTATCTACTAGAAAACGTTCCCTTTGATATAAATAATAATCATGATGAAAAAGAATATTATTATTATTATTATTATTATTATTATTATTATTATTATTTTTTACGTAGTTTCGAAAGATCCATTTAAATACTTGTAAGAAAAAAAAGGTTGTTGACGGGGATGGTGGAGGAGGATCTGAAGGAATAAAAACCTTTGATCGTTGATTCGTGTTAATACATCGGACATCAATTGATTATCGGGCAAGAAGGAATTTAGAAAGCACCTACGCGTTCTTTCGTGACATGCCCGTTATTCCTGTTGTCCAGGGTTAGCCGACACTCAATGGTCCTAACGCTGCCGTTGATCGCCATACTCCTTCTTCTTCTCTTCTTTCGTCTATCTTTCTTGAATTTCTACAACCGTTAGGAACAAACACTCGCAACATCTCTTTCTCGTATTAACTATATAACACGACGATATTATCCACTCGATAAACTCGAATTGAAACGAATTCATCGTGAAAAATACGCATGACATTTCAAGTTCAAGGGATGATGCATTTTCCTAACCAATCGTATTATATATCTGTATATTTTCATAGAAGTATTATGACGCACGTGGCGAAAGTTTACATAATATGACATACTTCTTCTAAATATAGATTACATATATATATATATCTATCTATCTATCGTTTAAATGTCTACAAATTCTTTCTGGATTATTTTATTTTCAATCTTAATCCAAATTTGTTCTAATAATTTAAAAAAAAAAAAAAAAAAAGAAACTGTATTAGTATTTTATACACAATTTATCTGTAAAGAATCAAATGTCGTCCACATGTTCACAAATACATTCTCCGTTACGATCACTATTATTATCCTTGCATCGAACTATACGTCAAAAACGTATGTAAAGTGTCACGTGTTTCCGACACACGTATAATCGAACTGCCGATTACCACCCCATTCCTGATAACGTCGAAATATCCTTCGAAAATATACCTAAAGAAGGACGATGATAGGAATTTAATCTGTAAAATTGTTACACCAAACTATGATTCTATTTTCGTTAGAAATATACACCCTATTAGAATTAGAACATGATCTAGTTAGCTAAACTATTGGACTACGTTGAAAATTGTGAAGGAAAATGAACATTTTTTTCTAATCAATGAACATTTTCCCGCTAACGGTGAGAAAACAAACAGGACGCTGACGTTATCGAAACTGAACGGGCGTTCAGTAGGATGGCCAGGAACAGGCTGATCGATGCTGAAGAGAAGCGCCATGGTGCAGACGGTGGTGGTGGTGGTGGTGGTGGTGGTGGTGGTGGTGGTTGGTTGCTGTTGTCTCTTGACGCCGGCGCGAAAGATTTTCACGTGGATCACACACCAATTCCTTTCTGTATATTTTATTTCCTCCTCCTCCTCCTCCTCCTCGTCCTTCTCGTCCTTCTCGTCCTTCTCGTCCTTCCATCCCCTACCACCCTCAATCCTCTCACTCTCATCTTCAGTTATCTATTCGTCCTTCTCCTGTTATCATCTACCATCACGACCTTGTCCTCATCACCCCGTTAATCTGTCTGTCTGTCTGTCTGTCTATCTCTGACTAATGTCATATTTTTGTACAAGGGAAAAACGTGTGAAAATCAATGAAATGATCGAATTTAAATGATTCTCACCATGGTCGTAACTAATATATATATATATACAAATGTCATGTGAAATTTGATTTTACAAGGTTATCGTTTAAATGGTGTTAATAAATTATTCACAACTGCTTTATTATATATTTCTCTATCGACCTATCTCTCTCGTTGTCATTTAACCTGTTGAACGTAAAATAATAAATGGGTAGATCGTTTTTTTCTTCTTTTTTTTTTTTTAAATGCATTTCACTCAATACTTGACATTTTATTTAAAACGTCAAATCGTCAATTACGATCGAACAATCTCAATCATTATTTTTTTTTTGGGGAGGGGGGTTTTTTCTTTTTTAATCAAAAGAGAATTAAAATCACGTCATAGAACATCGTTTCTAAATTCATTGAAAGCATGTATAAACATTTGTTATTTGGTGAACGACACCGGAAACTGATATTCTATGTCCGATATTCTGTGAACGCGACTACGACCACGACCACGACCTTGTCACTCTTAGAGATGAACACAAAAAGTTTTCATTTGCATAGCGGAACCTAGAAAGGATCTTGCTAATAGGTTTCCTTTGATTACGAATATATAACTTTGAACGTGACGGATAAGTTTCTTTGAAACGTGAGATTCAACATACGGGAAACGTACTATCTATGTATATCTCTATTTGTTCCTTTCCTTTACCATGTGTTACCATGCGTGTAGAGAATTTGTGTCATCAATTAGACCAAGACGTTAAATATTTTTCTATAAATTTTCACGAACACGTATTTTATTTATCATAGAAAATGTATAGACGTTGTTAATCATTCTACCAAACACCGAAATCCCCGTCAGACTAAATTTATTTGATAAAAAGGTATATTTTTGTTTGTTTGTTTGTTTGTTTGGTTTTGTGTTTTATTTTTCTCAACAACTCGCGTTTCATTTTATGTCGACGACGATGACGATGACGATGACAACGTGTTTAGTCTAAACCTGAAACCCTACCGAATAGTAACACGAAAATTCGAATGATAAGTGTAACACATGTTTTTTTTCAAATTTTCATGTTGCAATTGAAAACATTTGTTTACGATCTAAAGTTTTACATCACGATTTAGATAAATGTATAGAAAAAGAAATAAGAAGAAGTAAGAATTTAATCTTCCGGCCTATAACTCGATCATCTTTTGCTAAAATACAAATGGATTTCGGTGAAAAAAAAAAAAAAAAAGAAACAACATCTCAAGCTTTTCATCGACTAACTCTAAAATATTTTCTTCGTACGAAAGTGTTTTCTCTTTACTCTTCTCTTCTCTTCTCTTCTCTTCTCTTCTCTTCTCATCTCATCTCTTTAGTTTTGCTCGTGTTTACTATTGACGTCATCGTGTTTCTCCACGAGTCGCGAGTATGCTTCATTCATGAAATCTAAGCGAATATATACACAACATTAAGGATACGATACCGGATGCAGCTAAACCTCCCATCGCTGGAGTTTTGACCTTTGCAAGCTACGATGCAGCCAGCCAGCCAGCCAGCCAACCAGCCAACCAGCCAACCAGAGTTCGTTCCGCGAAATGAGAACGTATTAATTTATGACTCACAACAGACATAAAGCGCATGCGTATTTCGATCTTGTTCTCTCAGATTCTCAATTCAAACGAATTCAACAACTAGTGTTACTTTCGAAAGATACGTTAATGGAGTTTAGCAAAAAAAAAGGTATTTGATTAAATAAACATTACTTACATTTCGATGAGTAGGCGCACGAGCAACTCTCTCCGAAGATCCTCTTAAAAGTTCAGCGAGTAATTCAGGACTTGGTCCAGGTAATCCCTCTAATTTGCTCGGGCTAGAGGTAGTCCTGTGATGAGAAGGTGTAGGCGGTTCGGAATTACTATTAGTGCCGGTATTATACGAGAGATTAGCGGATACTTTTCGTCTAGGTCGGAGACCTTCTTCTAGAGAGATATCTGTTGCACGAGGTTTCGCCATTTCAGCTTCGAGCATTTGACCGTAAGGGCCACGAAGTGGTCTCTTGCTGTACCTTAGAAATAATACATTGTTATATACTTAAAACGTATGAACGTGTTTTAACAGGAGGAGAGGGATAGGGATTTTTTGTTAAATTTGAAGTATTTTACCTTCTTGGTGCGTGGCCTTCGCAATCTGACAAATCGCTGGGTGTAGCAGGTGGCTCATCTCTTTCCTCGCTACTCTGAGCAGTAAGCTTGTTTCTATCCGCGTCCAAAGGTTCCGGCCATTGCGTAATGTACACCCCCTTTCTTCTTTTGCTAGTATCACCGCGATAACGTCTGGTTTTACCAGGTGGAGAGGATGCTTCTGAAGGTGTTTCACTAGGTGCCTCACTACCCTCGCTAGCTTGGCTGAGTCTTGGTTCCTCCAACGGTGGAGTCACGATTACCTCGTGCGGTTCTATTCTGTTCTCTATTAAATGAATTTCTTTGAATGTTTAAGTAAGTATGAAACACAAGGACACGATTAAATAATAGCGAAAAGCGGAAGAGACGTTAACACACAGGTAAACGAGCAAGTATCATTTCTCGCGAGTCGTTCGAATGGAAGAGAACACGTTGCTGGAATTGAATTACCCGTGATCGGTGGTAAAAACCACCACCAGTCTCGGTCGATTGCTATTGTTTATTGTGAATAGCATTCTGCAGACGCGAATGAACGAACGTGAACGCGTGAAGTCATCAATGAAGATGGCTATAACTCGATGACGCTCGAATTTCTATTTCGAACCTGGCACCCACAGTTCTCAAAATAGTGCCACGTAAAATAATAACGACACGTTGGAAGAATTCTTGCTTGCACCTTTCTATCGAAAGCGTTTACTCCTTGAAAATATTTCGACGTCTCTTTACCTTCACTCGATAATCTCTCTCTTTTTCTCTGTCCAAATAAACTCATATTCTAAATCGTAGAACTTCCTACGTTAATCTTTAAAATTTTATTCCATCATCTTTACGTCATACGTTTCGTAGATAGATATTTTCAGATGTAAGAAATGTCTAACCTTTTTGAACGATCTCATCCAACGGCGTGCTATCAACGACTTGATAGATCGGTTCGGAAGGTATCACCTCGGTCGGTGAAACATCGGCTTGAAGTTCCAATCTCGGTTGTTGCTCGTTGACTTCTGGTACCGGTGGTTCCGGACTGGTAAGTGCACTAGAAGTTGCCAAACTATCGGAACCATCGCTCCTTGGTCGGATTTCTTCGATGTTTCCTTGCTGAGGTACACCAAGCCCTTCGGCCGAACCAACGGCACTATCAACGCTCGGCGTAGATGTCCTTGGACTTTGACGATTCGGACTGTTTTGAGACGTCGAGACACCTGGTATAGCGTCTCCTCGTCTACGAGGCAAAGTACTGGCACGGACATCTTTGTTTTCCGTGCGAGCACTCGCCGCAACTGGTTGTGTCTTTTGACGATTAGCTGTAAATATTATGAAAAAAACCTCTCGTATTTTTTGATACAACCGATTCATTTTCTCTCGTAAGAAATCAGGCAAATTTTAGAATCCACCAAAATGATATTCTAACAAAATTTCGTAACTACTCGTTGACCGACATTAATCATTGTACATTGACGTACTCCAGAAGCAAATTACGCGCAAACGTTTTTAATAATAACTCGAGTGAGTGCTCGTATAGATCGTCCTCTTTCGGCCGGTTAAGATCATGTAAAAGAGAGAAAGAAAGAGAGCGAGAGAGAAATCCTAATTATCTCTTCGAGTGTCACGTAAGCTTGGCAGAATCGCAGGACGAGGAGGCGGTCTGTTCCAATAATAACGAACTTAGTGAGAAGGAGTATGTGAACGAAAGTATGATAGATAGAAGAGGAAAGGAGTTTTACCTAGCCCCTCCCTCCTGTCCTCACTCCCAAAGAGAGTAGAAACATTCGGTTGATCTTTTGGTTGGAAAAAGAAAAATTTCAACGACGATATTTCGAGAAGATCTAATTTCGAACGTATAAGGCGTTTATTTATCTCCTTCTCTCTCTCTCTCTCTCTCTCTCTCTCTTTTACTGTTTGAAATACGACGTTTCCGCTTTACGACACGACACGACACGACACACAAGACGAAGAACGAAATTTGACCTTGTCACTTATTGGGAAATCGTTATATTCTTTCTTTCTTATTTAGCCTATATACGAACGCGATCAATTGCAAAGAAAATAAATTATTAGTTAAACGAAGTAGAAATAAAATTTGAATTTATTTGCAAGAAATCGCGATATTACGCAACAACTGATGCACGAATAAATTGATTTGATTCTATTTCTTCATGAACCATAAACGACGATCGATAAATATGAAAATTCTGTAAGTTATATTGCGTTGTTTACGTTCTCGCTTTTTCTTTCTCAATATATTTCCTATATTTAAAGTCTCTCTCTACCATACTACGATAGTCGAAGCACGTTGTTATATAGTTCAAGGTTGAAACGTAATACACGGATTCGGTGACGATTGTTATTTGGTTTCCGAATTCATTGACGACGACGACGACGACGACGACGACGAAGACGACGAAGACGACGACGAGTAACGCTTTGAAAATGATTACGAAAGCTAAGGAAAATATGTTCAATGGGTTGTCACACGATTAGGTAAAGGATAGATTTCCCTTTCCCTCTATTATTTTCCCCCATTTTTTTCGATAGAGTTACCTTGATTGAAGTCCACCTGACCGAAGGACGCACTCCTGAGTGGAGTACCGGTTCTTTGAAGAGTCAAAGACAACGGTCCCCGTGACTCCAATCTGCTGACCGCGTCCCTGGCCTCGGCCTCGTTATTGTTGTTGCTGCTGCTGTTGTTGTTGTTGTTGTTATTGTTGTTACCACCACCAGTAGAAGCAATGGAAGACACGTTCAAGGTATCGCACAGATTGTCCACTCTCGTTGCACTATCTACCACTGAATCACTGTATTGTCTCAAATGTTGTTGTTTTACTGTCGACGCGTCCTCGATTGATACGCCGACCACGCTTGCGTCATTTTTAATGTCACCAACGTCAACACTGCTATTACTCTCTGTCACCTTGCCCGACTTCGAGGTTTTTCTCGAAGTTTCATGAGCGAGCTGTTGTTTTCTACAACTCTCGTTACCGGTAACCATCGAGTCTGTGATACCAGTGAGACGTTCCTCTCCAACGCTTTCGCTTCTAACGATACTCCTTGGATGATTTTGTTGATAATATTGTTGTTGTTGTTGTTGTTGATTCTGATGAAGACCGGCTTCATTATTCCTATAGATCCCACGATTATCGCATCTTCCACAACCTTGGACCGACTGTAAATATTTTCAATTTACAAAAAAATGCTGCATCAGAGATGCAGCCATAGATGTTAGACGATTTTTACCTGTTGATGATGAGATTGCAAAGGTTGTTGACATCCTCCCGGTGGTGGAGAGGATGTTTGAGTACGAGAAGGTCGTCTAGGAGGTGGGACAGGTGCTGGACCCTTGAGTTTCTCCGTAAGTTCTCGAAGACGCTCGGCCTTCTCGCTGCGGGGGGCGGAAGAGGATTTTTTTCCGCTTCCTCCTCCACCCCCGCTCCAGCGGAACCTATGCAATCGGTCCACCGCTATCACCGCTGGTTCCTATATAACGGGTTAAAGAAAAATAAAGGACTCGAGGGGGGAGACAAACAAAATAAAGATAAATAATATAAACTCACGATTACGCGAATGATCACGACCGTAATTTAACGAGCCAAGTTTAACAACGGCGTTAAAAAAAAGATACGATAAAAGCATAGATTATTCTATGGGCGCGACGACTACTTTAGAAAAGAAAAGAAAAGAAAAAAAAAAGAGAGAACTCTCGTCTAACCGACGACGAGTTACATCTGGATCATTTCGAAACAACGACCAATAGAAAGAGAGAGAGAGAGAGAGAGAGAGAATGAGAATAGAGAGACAAGAAGAGAATTATAGTTTCCCTCTCGCCAGGAAAATCGTGCCGCGCGAAGAAGAAAACGGACTACTCTGCCAAAATCTCTACGTTCGATTCATTGCTTTTTCCCACCATTTTGTATTCTTTTTTTTTTCTCTTCCTCCTTCCTTCCTTCCTTCCCTCTCATCATCTTTCTCTCTCTCTCTCTCTCACTCCTTCAAATCTTGCACTCGCGGCCCGTGGGCAAATACAACGCAGCCTCGTGCGCCCGCTGCGAAGAGAAAAGACGGACGCTGACGAAAATAGAATATCGTTCTTCGACTAGGCATCTAACTAACCAGCTCGTAAGCGCGTTTTCACTAAGCCCTAGGACTATCGGACACTTTAAACTAATGTACCATTTTGATTTTGTAACTTTGCAGAAAGTATCATTTAATTGAATTGTTAAAAAAGCAAAAAATAGGATATAATAATAACATAGAGAGAGAGAGAGAGAGAGAGAGAGCAAAGGTAAAATGAAAAGAAATGAAAAGAAACGATAAGTTGTAAGAAACGCGATACGAACTCGGTAGCGATCTCTTAATCGTGCGTATCGTCGACCAAGAGAAGAACGAGAGATAAATATACCTGTCAAGGTTACGCGTACTAGCGGCGGAATCGTACTCGACAATCCTCGACACCGTTCGTTCTTTTCTAACGAAACCTACCTCGAGGCTTCTGACGCGATATTTTCCTGCCCGGAAGCACTCCACCTTTGTTTGTATCGTTGACACTCGTAGTTTATCACAAGCTTGGTGGTTTTTTTCTTAATGGTCAAATATTTTCAAATGTAACTGTTGTCGCGTTTTAATACGAGTAAGGAAGTAAAGGTGTGTAATAAGGCTAAAGGATATTTAGCGGGAAAGTAGAGGAGGACACGAGTTGTACCTGGAGCTTGAGGGTCTGATGCTTCGTCCACTGGGCGAGCTGACGCGGCACGGAAACCGAGTGTTGCGTTTGCAGGCTCGGCGAAGAGGAGGAGTCAAACGATGGGTGCAACAACGACGATGACGTCGAGGAGGAAGAAGAAGAAGAAGAAGAAGAAGAAGAGACGGAAGATACCGGCTGCGACGGCGATGGGATCGCGGATGATTGTGGCTGGTGGTGTTGATTGTGCTGATGCTGATGCTGCTGATGCTGCTGCTGCTGGTGCTGCTGTTGGTGGTGGCGGTGATGCTGCTCGTTCCCCACCGTCGAGCTTTGCAGCATCCCGCGGTTATTATTAGAGTTTGGCGTTGGCCGAACAGCCGCCAGCTTCGCATCCACCGGCTGTTCCATGCCAGCAGTGGTGGTAGCACGACTCTTCGATGAAAACGTGGGAGGAAGAGACGAACATGACGAAGACGATGGCTGTACTTGTGCCACTGTTACTACTACCGTTGCTGCTAAAGGTGGTAGAGGAGGAGGAGGAGGAGGAGGAGGAGGCGGAGGAACCGGCAAAATTCCGCTAACCATTTCTCTTCCTCCTCCATTTCCACCTCCACCTCCACCTCCGATTCCTCCAATGCTGCCAACCGTCGCCGTCGCCGTCATCGCCGTCGCCGTCGCCGTCGCCGTCGTCGTCGTTGTCATCGTCGTAGTTGGGATCCTCGGCAAAGGTAGTCGAGAACGTGGACCGATGCAACAACATTCGACTATACTCGAGGCAAGATCTATCGACGACGACTTCTCCGCCAATTTGTCCGTCAATCGTTCTCTCGATTCGCTTTCTCGCGAATTTCTCTTCCTTCTTCTCTCCGCCGATTCCTCCCTCGAACTCGCGGGTGGTAGATTTTCCTAAAAAAAAAAAAACCAAAACAACGTTTCTTTTCTCTTCAAATTTTCTTTAATCTTTCAAGACAATCGAGATACCTTCGTTGTTATATCTTATTATTCTCTCTTATAAAGAAATATTAACTTGCATTATTAAACGATATCGTCTTTATGACGCCAGTAAGTCGACGCCATTTCTTCCCACGAATAATGTTCTTGATATACTACTCCGAAACGGATCCTCTTTTACGTTACTGTACACGATGCGCTCAGCGTTCTTTGGTATCTCTCGCGGTTTGTTAGAAAAACACGCGCTTGCTATTCCTTTCCTTTTTTTTCTATAATTATAGTTACAAAAAGAAAAGTAACGGGCTCCCGATAAAATGATTTACGAGCTATAAATCTTTTCCAATGATTAGTCCACTAATTCTAAGAGAAAGAGAGAAGAGTTGCTATTTCAAAAATTGATCTTTATTCAAACAAATCGATGAAGTTCTTTTAATCGTTTAAATTAAATCCACAAAAAGAACAAGCAGAAGAAAAAGAAGAAGAAGAAGATAACTTGGCACTCGATCTTCCACGAACGAAGAATTCCTAACGAAAATTGCTCCTCTCAGTTAAGTTCTCAAACCAACGTTGTGCTTTACTATGCCGTCGTCTCGTGCTAGGTGATTTGTCAGGATCGAAGGACTTGGCAGAGAAACTTGTCGCGTGCACGCGCCGAGAGATTCACGTCGACGGGTATACCCCCCTATGACGTCAAGTGGATATTATTCCGGATGAACGTGGATAGGAAACGGTGCACAGTTAAATGACAGAGAGAGAGAGAGAGAGAGAGAGAGAAAGGAGAAGAGAAGGCGGTTCAAGATCGAGTCACTGACTGGTCTCAGATTCTATTTACGCGATCGATTCTAAGTTTAGGATCTTTGGCGTGTTCGTTTTCTTCTTCGTTGCTGAACGAATCCTTTGCTGTGGTCACTTAACGAAGGTCATTGCGACCGAGCGGAAGGTTATTACGATGATTCGTACTAAAAGTGCTAAAGGAAGAGAACGGATTGGAGAATCCTCGTCTTACGATACCACATAACATTTATCTAAACTTCATTTTATCGAATAACATGAATTTTGTAACATATTATGTAATAATACACCTCTCTCTCTGTATATAAGTATAATCTATTATTTGATATCATAACTGTATAAGATAATATTTATTTTTTTACGAGTATATGCGAGTAATCATCGAATTATATACCTGATGATTGACATTTATTATTTAGCTATTAATTATTGTATTACCTGTGATAGTCTGAGACCATATCTGGTGCCACCCAATACGACGTATCCACCAGCGACGCCTCCTCCGGTCACAGCTCTCGCAGCACCTCCCAACCATCCTCCAAATCCACCAGCTCCTCCTGTCTTCTCGTTCCCGCCACCCCCGTCTCCTCCGACGCGGGGCATTCTTCATCCTTCCCTCACCCTGCAACACATAAAAGTTGATTTAACCGAACGACGATCTAAATGACGGACAAACGATATACCCAAATTCCATTCATCGAAATATACTATAATTAGATACAATTTAATTTTATAATTCCTTAAATGAACGTTCGTCATATTCGGTGAAGTGTGACAAAAATATTATTTATATAAAATGAAATCTAAAACTCTTTGTGAATTATAATCTACGAAACTTTGATTGAAGAATGCGCTAACATTTGCAATAATTCACACAGCTGTGTTGAACGCACGTACGAATGAATGCGTGCACGTGTGTTTTATACGTATGTATGTGCATGATTGATCTTCTTTTTGACTTGATCATCCTTTTTTATCGAATATATGTAATGTAGGAAATGTTGTTTACAAACTGCGGACTACCCTTCGCTTCAATCCCCGTCTCTTTATATCAATCCTCATCGTTTTCGAATTTTCCAAAGTTCGATGCAATAAACAAAGCATCGATGATATCGCTTGAGAAAACTTTCTAAACTCACACGGATTCACACACACACAACTTAACACAACTTACAAAGAACAGACCAAACATCGTCTTTCTTTATTTCGACTATCGATTCCTTTGTCTTTTATTCTTTGGTCCCCTATCATCTTATCTATGTTTACTCTCCTAGATGTGTATACGTTTCTAATAGTTTTTAACAAACTATTTTATCGTTCTTTCTACTTTTTGTTATTTTCTTTATTATAAATTCTCGTATCGGTAAGAAAAATAGAGGACCAATTGATAGATGAATTTATCTTATCGGTCTCCATGTTAATATTTTAATATTTATTATATATATATATATTTAATAGATCATTGGATTAGATCGTAATTAATCTTCTAATAACATCTAAGTATTTCATTATTTTTCGTTTAGATTATTGTTTTTAATGTCTTTCTTGGTTATCGGACTCTTCTTCGATCATATTCCAACGAAGAGACACCGTATTACGTTCTCTTGAGATCTTATAACCATAAGGAAAGTAAAAATCGAATATCAGAAGTAGAAGAAGCAGAAGAAGAAGAAGAAGAAGACGCGTTTGAAATGCAACCGAGGGAACACGCGACGTCGTCTCTTCGATAATGATATGTATCATTATTCCGGAAGTGCGTGTTATCGTGTTTAAAAATAACAAGTAAGTATCTATATAAGTGGTAAAGCACGCGACTTAATAGATATAACTCATAATCGGAATCGAATTAATGAAATCGAAGTAGTGAGAAATGATAACGGCCGAACGTTACGTTTCGATAAGAATCGCACCTTCTGTTTTTATTCTTCTTGTTTGTTATATGTATGTATATAAATGTGTGCATGTGTGTTTAAAATACGTCAAGTTATTTAATATCCGATCATCGCGTTTGCTTACTTTAAAACTTACGTCATTATTTTCGCAATGGAATGTAAAAAGTAGAAGGGGAAATTTTGATAATATCGATATACACGGAAATAATACATGATGATAGTCTCGTCGAACGATGAAAGTTAAAATAATTTTCCAAAGTCGATATGTGGCTCTTGTTGAGGGTGGTGGGAGGGTGGTGGCAGTGTGTGTGGGACATCTTTTTCAAAGTCCCAAGTTCAATTGGCCGGAACACGAATTTGAATCATTGCCAGGATCGTTTCGAAAATAACGAAAAAGAGAAAATTTAATCGTAGGTAGGTAGGTGGAGGATGGTGTATGTGGACCGAATTCGAAGGTGTATCTTCGTTTCTTCATTTTTTTTTTAATCTCCTAACTTTCTCTCTCTCTCTCTCTCTCTCTCTCTCTCTCATTCTTGTTCCTTCTTTTAATAAAAAGATTTACGAATTTCCTGGATTACGGGTTGAAGAATCTTTGCTCGTGATTTTCGGCAACTCGGCACGAGCCAACACCATACCGAGAATGATCGAAATGAATTAAATTCAGAAGGTGAGACACACGTACGCGAGTAGAAGAGAGTGCATATTTGGAATGTCGTGAAGTCTTGTTCGGCAAAATTGGGATGCATTTTTTGTAACTTCGATCATTGGGACAGGTAACCACCACTCTTTCACATACGTTTTCGAAATATTTAACATCAATTTTACGAGACGTACGTAAGAATACTAAAAAAAAAAAAAAAACCTAAAATTGAAAATTCGATCTTCGATTTTATTTTTATCAATGAAAAAAAAAAAAATAAAATAAAATGTGAAAAAAGAAGAAGAAGAAAAAAAAAGAAATAAACCAGTCTTATATACCACGTTTAATTGGCAACGTGAGCAGGTCTCGCTTTTAACATTGTTATGACTACTTCTCGGCAAAAATTCGAAGATAAAAAAAAAAAAAATAAAAAGAAAAAAAATAACGACCAGTGGTGATGGTGGTAGTGGTAGTGGTAGTGGTAATTTTTAAACGAGATCGTGACAAACTTTGCAAGCACATTCCATTAGCTCAGGCATTCTCTTACAGAAGGTAAATCGCGGTGCAAATAACCGATAAACATTCGCGATGCTTTGTCATCGGAACGATGAGGGTGCAAACCGAAGGAGAAGGAGAGAGAGAGAATGAGAAATAGAAAGAGAGAGAGAGAGAGAGAGAGAGTTTATTTGCGAAACGATAAACTACTCGTCTGTGAGTTGTCGTCTGACAGTTGTCGGCAAAGAGGAGAGGAATGTTCCCTTCTCTTGAAATTCCTTCAAAGATTCATAAACTAGTAAATTCAAAGCATCGAAATGCCATATATATATAACAAGAAGATAATCAAATTTTACGTAGATAATCCAGATAAAGCCTATACTTTGCAAATCTCCATGGATGATGTTTTTTTAGCTTTGGTTTAAATGTTGTTTGGTGATCTCTAAAGATAGAGAAAATGCTGTAGGACACGCAATTTTTTGACAAAACCTGAACGAACTATTCTCTCTCTCTCTCTCTCTGATTTTTTAACAAAGGAATTTCTTCGGTTATTTCAAATAATATCAAAGAATACTAAGAGACAAATGTGATTTCTTACCGATAAATGGCGACGAACTGGCAGGAATAAACGTAACGATATAATGATCCTTTTTAAGATCCTTCCTCCTTTCACGTTTTCTTCCTTTGATCAAAGAAAAGACTTTCACGATACAAACTTTCTCTCTTTCTTTCTTTCTACCTTTCTCTATCTCTCTTCAAGGTCCACAATGTTTACGATAATTTGAAAGAAAGAAGAAATAAATATATATTCTTATGGAATACACAATGTTGGAATTAGAGTTAAAGTTAAAGCTGGTTCCCTCCACGGTGGTGGAGAGCAAGATGATGCCACCTTGGTGAAAGCCTCCACGAAGAAGAGACTCCCTTGGCGAGGCGAGTGCCGCTCCCGCTAAGCGGAAGATTATCTAAATAGAGTCTGTGCCACGCAAAAGAAAGAAAGAAAGAAAGAGAGAAAGAGAAAGAGAATGAAATAAGAATACGAAGAAGAAACGTGCAAAGAGTTGCTGCTGCTGCTGCTGCTGTTGCTGCTGCTGCTGGGGTATATATTTATACGTCCTCCTATCTTTTGAAAGCCAAAGACCAAGAGAGAGAGAGAGAAAGAGAAAGAGAGACACAGAAGAGACACAGAATCATCCCTCTGATCTTCACCAGTATCTTCTACTTCGAAAGCATTGAACTTTTAATCGTACTAAGAAATTGTTACACCTTTCCATTCCCTCATCCACCCTTTGCCTCTAACACCACTGTCCAAGAATCTCTTTGATCTTCTTTCAAATGAAAAAATTTGGATACAATTATTCTCTTCTTATGTTAAACCGAACAAACTCGAATTTGAGAAAGCATTTTACCGTAACATTATCAAATGGAAAATTCATTGGACAATGTATATACAATAGTAGTACCTATATGCGTTTCTACGAGCAAGGACGTTGAACCCGAAACACTCGGAAGAAGAACTTCTTTCGAATAACGTTCATATAACTATCCGTAAAAGGTGACGTCGCGAGAACGCGTTTCCTGTAACATCAATCGGTTATATATATATATATACATATATATGTATTTATATATATACTTTTTTTTTTAAGTGAAAACTTCTTTAGAATCAGAGTGATTTGAAAATCGTGAAACGGAAGAACGTGAAACCGATGAAACAAAAATAATTAATTAATTAACAAAATTCAATATATAAAAATATTTTTTTTTGTATAAATATTATTTTTTTATATAAATATTTTATATAAAAATATGAAATTCAGTGTAACAATATATTTGTACACTAATAATTCCGAAATTACTCAACTTCGTCTTAATGTAAAATTTATTTGATTTCACGCGTGATTTTTTTTCAACTTAGCACATAGCATATAGTGTGTGTGATATGCACACATCTGTTTTTTTTTTTTCATTTCATTTATATATTACATCGTGTAGATTCTAAATAGAACAAGGGAGATAAGAATTTTGTTGAAATCCTTATCTTTGCATTTGTAAAAATTTAATATAACAAATTTTGTTTGTTCTTTTATACGATAAAGATGAACAAAATCTAATCTCTCTCTCTCTCTCTCTCTCTCTCTCTCTCTCTCTTTCTCTCTCTGTCTAATAATATATATAATTGGTGTATAAAAATGAATTATTTTCTTGAAACTTAGCATGTTCAAGTTTTAATAAATAATTTAAAAAAAAGTCGACACACACACACACACACACACACTGATAACGCGCAAACCGATAAACATTTTCTTATACTTTGAAAAAGAAAAGAAAAAAGGAAAAAAAAAAATTAAAAAAATAATATAAAAATGAACTCGAGGCCGTATCGATAAGCCGTAGAGATATCGTTGACTGTCTAAATTCGTTCAGCGAAAACATTCGAAGGAAATACTCTGTCGAAGGTTGTTTTGAATCGCGTTGAGCAAAAGTATCGCGGTACGCCTCTAATTAAGAGCGCAATGATCGTTTTACGCGATTACGTTGGTAACTCGGTTGTTCCCCCGTTAGAGAACCTAACCGATAAAAAGAAGCTTGGATTTAGATATTTTTTTATATGTCTCTGTCTCTCTCTTTCTCTTCAGTAAGTCACAGTTGTCTTCTGCTATTCATATTTCTCTCTCTCTCTCTCTCTCTCATTTGTTCTCATCAAATTCGATAGCTTTCCGCACATCGAAATGTGTGAATTTGCTCGAGAGTTTGTATATTCAAGTGTGTGAGAAACGAAATATGAAATCATCGAAAAGTAAAACGTTTAAGTGTGAAAGATTGAATAAAATAGAATAATATGGAGAATGAATATTTGTTTAAAGATATTTAATAAATGATGATAGGAGAGAGAGAGAGAGAAAGATATATATATATATATAGAAGTTTATTACATCCATTCGTGATGCATCAAAGATCAAAATACTCAAATAAACGTTAGAATCTAAATAACAAGATAAGTGTGAAAGAATAGAGAGAGAGAGAGAGAGAGAGAGAGAGAGAGAGAGGAAATAATTCTTCAAGTTTTTACATCGCGAAATAACTAGACAAAGAATTGTTTAATATATTCGCTATTTAGTTAGTCTAGTAATAGAATTTATTGAACGAGACCTGATAAAGAAACATTTCTAACGTTACATAAAATTAAACGTAATTGTTTGTTACGTTGAAAGTTGGCATTTTCCAATTACCATATCGAAGTTGAACTTTGTGTGGAATGTTCAAGAGCTACTTTGAATTAATATCGACCTAGTTTTAACAAGAAAGAAATAGAGAGAATAATAATAATAATAATAACAAAGTTCATTGAAACTTTGTCAATAATAATATACAATAATTTTGTATTAAAAAAAAAAAAAATGTGTAAATAATTAAATAAATACTTCGAGTTGTTACAGTTGTACAGAGTAATTTTCATTTGTCTTAGAATAGATACCGTGTTTCACTCGGAAGTGAGAGCAGGTTGTTGCATTTAAATAAAAATAGAAGAAAATAGACGTAGAAGAAAGAAAAAGAAGGGAAAACAAAAAAAGAAACAACAACAACAAAAAATAAAAATAAAAGAAGAAATGTTCGTTCTAGCACAGCCCACGTTGCTGGATGGGGACTCCTTTCCTGGCTTTGGCGTGCGCCTTTACCATCACAATACCTTTCTTCTATCCTTTTCTTTCTTTCTTTCTTTCTTTCTTTCTTTCATTTTCTTTCTCTTTCTCTTTCTCTATCGAAGAACAGGCGCGCGCGCGCATCCAGCTTCCGGGATCGTCAGAATCACGGACAAATTTCGCCTTTCTCCAATCGCAAATACAACTCTACCACAAGATAGAGATAACAGAAAAGGGTTAACATTAACGTTTGACAATTGCAAAAAGATTCTTTTTCTATTATGTTGAGGGCAAAATACAAAATGAGATTATAAAGTACTTGTAATTAAATATATATATGTATAATATAATTGATACTTACTTTTTTCGCGACAAATTTCGGCGCGATTCGTCCGAGAAACGAGACGTACTCCCACGACGTTAATTTCCATGCGAAATTTCTCTTGTTTCTTCCCTTATAGATATTTGTTCTTTAATCAAATATTTTTTTTTTTCAATTTAATAAAGCTTATCCTTATTTATATGTATTATTTTTCAATCGATTGAAATGATTCGTGAACAAGATACGCACGCGTATGCCGAATGATTTTGACGGTTCGAGATACGATAATAAATAATATAAATTGATTCGTATGATCTATCAAAGATAAGCTTTATCCCTCTCTCCCTGACAATCTTTTTCTTTGTATATTTTTCTTAGTACTTCGTTTGGTAATGCGATCTCTTCTTCGTTGGATCCAAATTCAATTCGATTGAAACGATTGAAATATCAAACAAGTATTTCTTTTCACATGATTACAACAAATATAATAACAGTTTCACTAGAAATCATTTCACGCAATTAATAACCGGTCGTATTTCGCATTAATTCATAACACGATTCCACGTTTTAGGTGTATGTCGTCCAGTCACAGAAATAGTGACTTGTTCAAAGCACAATCCACCCACCAAGCAAAACTACTCGGGGAGGTCTTTGAAACGAAGTAAAGTCGGCGTCTGGATCCTTTTATCGACCTTGGACCACTCGATCCCCCTTACCCTCGATCGGTCATGATGCTGCTCCAAAACTCACCGTCTCATTCTTTCTTTCTCTCTTTCTCTCTGTCTCTCTTTTTAACTGGATATCTTATTCCGTTCGTAGGGAGGGACGAAAGGACGTCGTCCTTTTCTCGAGGGATTCTCTTGGCTTCTTTCGAACGACTATCTCGACCGGCTACGAAGTGTAGGAGGATGAGGAAGAGAACGATGGAGGAAGAGAAGGTGGAGGAGAAGGAAGAGAAGAAAGGGGAAGAGAAGCGTGCTGTTTTAGCAAAGAAAGAGATAAAGGTTCGAGTAGGTGCGTGGTATCTTGGCACAAGAACGACTCGACGAGGAGGAGAAGGAGGGAGGTCAAGAAAGAAGAAGATGAAGATGAAGAGGAGAAGAAGATAGAGGAGGGAACGATAACGAGAAAGACGCGACGATGTACGAACGACGATTTCTTTTTGCTCTTGTGACGAAAAGAAAACTCGAACGATTTCGTACGTTCAGTTCCAGCTGGGTACGATGAGCCTGTTGCTGTTTCTGTTGCTGCTGCTGCTGCTGATGCTGGTACTGGTGTACTGGTGCTGGTGCTGGTGCTGGTGCTGTTGCTTGTGTTGCTGGTACTCGTGCTGGTCTCCCGATTGGATACGAGAGACCATGGCGCGCTACTATGCAACCGAACTAAATCGAATCAAATCGAATCGAATCGAGACGTGTCGAAACGAGACGAGAGACGCGGACGTACCGGCGCTGAGGAAAACTTTGACCGTCTCCGAAGAGAGACCGCGCTGGAGACCCAAAGGGATGGGTCCCCACATAGTCTACTTGGAGGGGGATCTCTTAGTATACCGTCTTTCGGATAACTCTAAAGACATTGATCGTTCTTACGATAGATCTTCACACTATATCATATTTTTCTATCTTTAATTCTGATCTATTTTCTATTATATTTTTATTTTCATCAATATTTCATTCGTATACAATTTATTTAAATTCTCTCCTTCTCTTTATCTTTTATCATTTGTTTTTAATTAATATTTCTACGAACCGATCGTATATCTAATTTGATATCCATTCAACGACAACGACGTTAATTCCATCGTCTTCCGTCCATAGCGCTAGCAACGTTCTTTTGATCTTTCTCTCTCCTCTCTCTCTTTCTCTCTCTCTTTTCACGTAACACGCGTGAGATCTATATATATATATATATTTAAAGCATGATCGAGATAGTAGGAATCACGATATGTGTGGCCTTGAATTGCGGTTGCACGCTCTCGTGGCGCCAAGTACATCTCAAATTTGAACGTCCATTCAAAAGTGAAAATTATTACGTAAAATTCAAAGATGATAAAATATTTGTTTATAGTAACATGATGCTTATCTCATTAAAGTAATATTTAATATTTTAATTAAAATATATATATATATATATATATATATATAGATTATAAAAAATGTCATTTTGGTTTCGTTATAATATATCTTTGAGGATGAATCTTACCTATCCACTTTCAAAAGGTTTCTTTTCTTTTTTGCGGTACCAAAATGGCTGCTCGCTGCGGAAACCGCAGGCGCGTAATTTGAAACTATTGAACTACATTTTCCACAGGTTAATCACCGAACAAGAAAGCTTCAGGTCGTGTGTATCCATATATACGAGATGTTTGTTTCTATAAAATGAATGAAAAATACATTTTTATTAAATAATATTCATCAAATTTTAAACACAAAAATGAAGAGAAGTTATTGTACGGTATATAAGTTTTTGCACGTTCTTAGAAAAATAGCAAAAAGATAAATTGAAATATAAAAAGGATTGTACAAAAGTCCGCGTAACATTTAAAATTGGTCGACGTCATGATTTCTTCTCTACCTTATGGAGGGGAGAAAATACTATGATGACACGACGCCATTAACAGTATTTTCACTGACGCGTAGATTGTTTAACACGTTAATCATTTATCGAATGATTTTCTCGTCAAAGAAATTATTCGATTATTCTCTAATAATTTGTTCTAAGGAGATGCGATAAATTGCGAACGACGACGATCATAAGTGACTTGAAAATATTTCTTTTCAATTAAAAAATACAAAGGTAGGTTATGTTTGGTTGACACACACACTTTCTATTCTAATTATACATTTGGTCATTTTCTATTATTATTTTAATTTAAACATTATCTTTTCTCGTATAAAATTCGATTTTCTAATGTTTACAATAATTAATAACAATGATCACACATACACACACACACGTGTAAAAGTTGGTAACTCTGATCTGACGACGCCCAAGTGTTACGAATAAGTGGGTGGAGCATTGCTTACGTTTGAGAAGGAAGTTAAATCATCTGTGTTTTCATTCATCAATACGTGAGTGATAGTACAAACGTTGCATATTTAAAAATCTGTAATTTTCAGTATCAAAATGACGAGTTTACAATCTTGCTGGTCTCCATGCATTTGGACGAATAGTGTTAAAACAGGATCCAAAGTTATTGCATATTATACAATGGTATGAATGACATTTTAATGAGAATTAGTTAATAACATATAACAAACATTGCTTACATTGATATATTTTTTAGGCATTGAGCATTGTATTTATTACTTTAATATGCTATCAAATGAATGGTGGAGATTCAACACAGTTGTACAATCCTCTTTTTGAAGCAGATGTCAGAGGATGTAAGTAGAAAAAATATGTATAACAAATTTCTAGAAAAAGAATATTTATAAAAGAATCTGTGGTATTATTTTCAGCATTGCAAGTTATAGGAAGTATTTTAATAGCTTACTTCTTATTTCTCATCATCTCTGCCATTTTAATGATCCATGGAATCCGTGAAGGTGTACGAGGATTTCTGCTACCATGGTTGGTACTGTGGTTTATCATGATCTCCTTCCTTCTCGTATTTGGATTATGGCTATTAGGAGGATATTATATTTATGTAAGTATGCAAATAGTTCATTTCGATGTAGACATTTCAATACTATAATTATTTTTATTTTTAGTTGGAATCTGTATTTGCTACGCTATGTATTTGGCTTTGGATGACATATAATGTGAGTAATCCGAATAACAAATTAAACTTTATGAAATCTATTTATCTTATTCGTTATATCAGAATCTAAATTTATAATCATATTTATATCTGTATATGTTATCAAATATAGATCTACTGTTGGTTGGTCGTCTATTCCATGTACAAAGTATTCGAAGAACTACAATCGCCTAATATTGAATTACTTTGGCCATAAAAGGTATATTGCAATAATGTAATGGTAAAAAAGTGCTTTTATCTGCATACTCAACGCCAAAGTAAGCTGGAATCCTTGACATCAACATTGTGTTCTTTTTTACTTCGTTAGTATCTAGTTTTAAGTATGGTCTTATGATCAATTTCATAAGTCTAACCAGTATGCGAGAATAATCAATGAATCATCAATAATTATTATATTTAAGATCTTGAATATCAAAGGTCTGAAAGTAGATCTTTTCAAATGTTAGATTAGTTCTAAACTTTAAGAAAAAAGTCTGATCCGTCCACATTCCATAGATTTAATATAATTAGTATGACGACTCGTTAAGGAAATATGAAGGCACATTAAAGTGACTGATAGAATAAATGAGTTGAATAATAGAAAGTTGTTAGCGTAGCTATTAAAAAAGTGTTTTATACAATTATACAAGAATATGTACTTTTTTGTGCAACTACAAAGTTCTTACATTTATCATAAGAATTTTAGAATATCAACATTACTAACAGTACAAGTGAAATATTTACATATTTATATATAATGAATTTACTTGTTTTTCTAATTTTATATTTCTATAAAATACATTTGCATGTAACATATGTTGTATATACATGTCGCTTTAATATAATTATTTAAAAAAAGTAAATCTTTTATTATATAAATGACGTTTGAACTCTTTTAATATAAACTATATGAAGTACATACATTACTAAGGACGAGGTTATGTGGATGCGTGGGGATGGTCCGTATGCATGAGACTAGTGCACATGCGTGCAACAATGCGCATGCGTGGCAATAATACGCATGCGTGGCAATAGTGCGCATGCGTGGCAATAATACGCATGCGTGGCAATAATGCGCATGCGTGGCAACAATGCGCATGCGTGGCAATAATGCGCATGCGTGGCAATAATACGCATGCGTGGGAATAGTTCGCATGCGTTGCAGTAGTGCGTATGCGTGGGCAACATCTCACGTCCTGGTGTCAGTGTTATTATTCTGTCAAAATTTGAAATAATACTGCATTGATTCTTTTTGTTTTTTAGTGAGTTTTTTGTTATAATTCACGTGTTAACATCGGTGCGTTTTATATTGTGTGGTGATTAACATTTAATTAATTGTTGATTAAATCTTCAAACGATTGGTGAGTACATTACCTGTTCTATATCATTTCGATTTTGAGGTTATTATTTTATAACTATTTATTTGCATGTAAGTTTTATATTCTGTATATATATTAATATCAAAAAGTGGTAAATAATAAAATAATTTACGATAATTCTATAATATATTGACAGTCCTTATGAATGAAATAATTAAAAATGAATGAAGATCTTATGCAACGAATTAAAAATACTTTACAATCAGAATCATATTTTATGAATGATACTTGGTTAAGAGATTGTATAGAATATTTCACTTCAGAAAATAACACAGTAAGTTGTAATAATATAATGTTTAAGAAATTTATTTTTTAAAAACAAAAATTTGATCCTTATGACTATATTTTATTTTAGCTAGTGTACAATGAAATATTAAAATTTGTGAAAACGCAATGGCAATTAAGTGATTTACGTGAAATCAACAATGATAATGGATGTCTACCAAGGGATCTTAATAAATATATGTATAAGGTCTTACACGGATCTTATATTCTTCAGGTAATATCAAATTTTATATATATACAGTGTGTGATCATACATTTTTATATACATATAATTTCATGTATTATATTTTTTAATATTATAACAGGTGAACAAAATGTATGATATATCAACTTCAAAATATAAGCAATTAGAACGAATACGTAATGTTTCTAATGTTAATATAGAAGCAACGGAAGATGTCAAACCTCAAATGTGGGAGCCTAAAGCTAAGAGGATGCTTCTATTACATCTAACGGATGGTTTACAAGATGTTATTGGTATAGAATACAAAACCATTTCATCCTTACAAGTAATATATTTTTGTAAACATAATTTAGTTACATCGAATCAGTTATGTTTTTACTTTCATAAAAATGAACAAAATATTATTATTCGATAGGATACATTAATACCCGGATATAAAATAATGATCATTGGACCAGTGACATGCAGAAGAGGTGTTATTTTATTAGAAGCCACTAAATTCAAAGAAATTGGAGGAGAGGTTGAAAGTTTATCTATCAGCAATGCATTAGAAAATGTTCTAGCTCGTGCTTTGTAAGTATTTGTTTCTTGTTTTATTTCAAATAGAACCAATAAAATGTTTATAAATTAAAATTTGTTTTTTTTTTGTTTAATATCACAGGAATTGTCCAGAAAATCCAGATCCATATAATGATAAAGACAGTCAGGAAATTAATAACACACCGTTGCCTGCTACAAATGATTTTTTTGAAGATGATTTTGAAGTCAATTTGGAAGAACTTACACAAATTGAACAACGCAATCAGGAAATGAATAATATACGAAGTACAAATAATGCATTAAATTCTGCAAGTACGCAGAATAATTTATCTAATCGATTGAACATCACGCAACCAACTTTTGTCAATTCGATAAATCCAATTAATGATAATAATATGTATCAAAGTAATAATATTAGTGAAGCTTTAGATATGGATGATGAGTTGTTAGAAATGATTGAAGAAGATCAATTTATCACATCTACTTCATGTACGTCTACTACAAATACATTTAAGAATACTGAAAGCACGGATAGAGAAAAGAACTTGGTCAAATCTTTTCGAGTATTACCTAAAGAAGATAATGATTATAACATGGAAGACAATATTGTAGTAGTGAAAGATAAAGATAATTGGATAGAACCCTTTAACAAAAAAGATAATATTAAAGAAGAAAGTGATATATATTTTCCAGAAGATGATTTTAATTTTGAGGATTTAGATGCAATCGAAATAGCGGAAACGAAGCCGCCTACGATACAAGAAACTACAGAATCTGATGTAAAAGGGCATTTTTTACCAAGCAAATTGTTTCTGAAAAATACTAATACTGTTAAAAGCAAAAATTCTTGTGAGACATTTAAATTGAAGACAAATAGTACTAATGGAAACAAAGCATCTACTAGCATGCAAGTTGATTCTCAAAAAGAAATTGGAATTAAAAGACCTGCGGTACGATTTTAGTATCGAGAATGTCTTGTAACTGTTGTTACGAGCGAGTAGGATTGATTCTACATTAAAAATGATTGTCAATCAAGTGCAATTATATTCGACGAGAATTATTATATTCTATATTTTTCAAATTTATGGTTAGTTTTTCATGTAGAATACTGTTCGCTTGTATTACCAGTTACTGACCACCCTATATATAAATATTATATGAATTTATATTTTAGGCATTAATATCACCATCGCTTATAAAACCGAAAAAAAGTTGTATTAAAGAAACATCAAGTCAAGAGAAAGGTGTTAGAAAAATTTCCGACTTTATGAAAAATAATCAATTTCAAGAAGAAATACCAGCGAAGATTTGTGATTTCATTTGCGATATTATCAATGAAATAGTTGAAGAGATAACATTTAAAACTGTACGAGGACAATTCATCACATTTGGTAAATTATCGAAGAAAAATCTTTGTTGGCAATTGGATGGAACGATATCTGATAAAACTGCAGCATTAGATGTTGCTGTTGCTTCTGAGGTATTTTATATTTAATAACAATGCCTAAATATCTTTGTTAATATATTTTTTATCATTTTTTTTTTTTTTTTTTTAAGAATTTTCTCAAAAAAAGAAACTCGCAAAAGTCAACTGTAATGTAGAACATGAATTAAGAATGGTAATATTTAAATATTTATTAATATATTATAATTGGTTTATATATATATTTTATTTATATGATATAATTGAATGATATTTTAGGCTTGCCGTAATGCGGAACAAAAATTGAAAGAATTGGATGCGTTATTAGAATTAGAATTAAATCCAAATCAAAAAGCAAAAGTTGTAAATATTAGGCCTTTAACTGATCAACAAAGGATATTAATTGATAAAAGATTAAAGGCATTGAAGATTTAAATTACAATCCTATTTTATATTATTTATACTATTATTATACAAAGCTCTCTTTACATTTATTTTTTTATTTATTGATAAACTATTTAAGTAAGATAATGAATACTTGAATATAATTATAAAAGACTTGAGAAATTCTAAATTTAGTAAGGACATCGAGAATTGTACAAATTAGGGAAATATAATCATTGGAATTAAAAAGTGACACGTAATAGGTAATTTACTTCATTATTTTGAACTTATTTAATATAAAACATATTATAATGTAAATGATATAACAAATTACGTATTTTAGGTATTAGAAAATTAACAATATTTTGTTTAAATCGTCATTTTTCATATTTACATATACACACACACACATACATACATACAATTTATTTAATAATTATTGTTCTATTCAAATTGTATATATATAAAAACAAGAAAAAAAAAATAAGAACAAGTATTGCAAAATTGATTGAGTTAATTTTGTTGAAACAATTCAAAAATGAAGTTTTCTAACATTTATAAATTATAAAAATCTTCAATGTTTTTCTTTTTTTTTGTTTTTTACCATACTTTGATATGAAAGTGAACTAATGAAAATCTACTTAAACTATTCACAGCATTGTTTATGTACTCGAAGCACAAATTTTTGCCCAAAATAAATAAAATTTATGTTCTTAATGTTAACAATAATAATAATAATAATATTAATAATAGTCGTAATATTAAGCCTCTTTCGTGCATCAATTAATTAATGCATCTTCCCTGTAAAAGTTATATATATATATATATAATGACACAGAAAGAAATGAAATCCATCGGATTGGATTCTAAAAAACGAATTACATTTTGTACATGTCGATGTACAGTCTTTATCAAAATAATCACTACTATTATAGACTAAGTTTTAAAAAATAGGTACACATAGTTAATCAATTAGAGAGTATCTTAATGAAACATTTATACTTGTGTTTCGCTACCACTGTGATATTTTCTATGTTTTCTATGTTTCTTATAACTCCTATAATTACTCGATGAAGAATTAGCAACGATTTGATGTTGATGTAAAAGCGAATGTTGTGGTGGTGGAACCAAATGACTAAGATGATGAATTTGATGAGGCGTTGGACTTGTAGAATTTGAATTGAAACAATGAACTACTGGTACAGGTACACCATGTGGATGACACTTGTGTGGTGGTTGTTTGCACGGTGGTAAACGTCTCCAAACGTTCATTAAATTTGGCCACCAAATCCAAGCAGCTGTAACAATACCACTTCCCAAAGTAGCTACCAATCGAAGAATGAAAAACTGAACGTAAGGTTTGGATGGTACTTTAGGTGAACTGGATGGTTCTGGTGCTCTTAGCCATTTTTCACGACCCCACCATTCGTAAAATGTTGTACTGGTTAGACAAAACAATGTCACTGCATAAAAGGTAGCAAAAAAGCCGACTTTGATTAATAAAAGTTTTTGCCTTCTGTAGATTTCCACCGGTGATTTAGACGATTCTCTTTGTCTGATCAATGGATTTGGATGCTGTTGATGGTGTTGTTGCTGTTGGAGTGCACTCACTACAGAACTTGGTGTCACCAATGGTCGTGGTAACAGAAGAGATGTTAAACCAACTAGAAGAAATGTTGTGCCCAAACAAAAGTATGCGAATTGTGGTATTAATACTAGAACCAAAAGGGATCGAGCATTTTGTTGTCCAACGAAGCAACTTCCTAAAACATAAAAGTAAGCAAAATTTCTATTATCTATTATCTATAAATCAAATAGTTTTATTTTATTAAATGCAGCTTGATAGGTAACGTGTTAGTTAGAATTATTTGTATATATTTTGTTTTTATATTTAAATATAATTTAGTTGAGAAAATATTTTCTCAAATGGATCAGAACGTGAGAGAGTGTGTAAGTTGGACGGCTAGGACAAGTAATGCCAACGTAGATCTTTATCTTATTCACGATGCTCCTCATTATCGCGAGACGGCTGTCCGAGAAAGAGAAAGATTCACGATTCACGATTATTCACCCTTCAACCGGTTGAGATCGAAAGTAAGTTTCTCACCTCGCGAGAGATCAGACGAGAACTCACTTAATATATATCAACCATAGCGTTTATATCTTTTTACTCGTTATTACATTTATCTTCAATAATGATACGAAATTATAATTAACGACGATATCATCCTTGTAAATCCAAGTATTAACGTATTTATTTATATTTTGATACTCGATTATTATATTTATCTTGTCATAGGAACTTATAAAATATGAACAAAAGTTGTTTAATTTTTACGTAAATTTTGATTCAACTCAATATAATGAACGGGTATCAAATGTATTTGTATAATACATACTTACAATGTAGATAAGTATGTAAGTACACATAAGTATGATACTTGTTAAAAAGGGATAACGGAAAGAGAAAATAACGGTAAGAATGTTCATGCCTGACACTTCTTCTTTCGGCGAGTTTATCCGGTTAGTAGTGTGGACCTTTTTTCTCTCTTGTGCGAATCATCTCTCCTCGATCTTTCCATCTTCGTCTCTTTCATCATAAGGAATGCGAAGGATCTCGAGTCCCTTTGGTAAAATAAAAATTCTTCTTCAACATTCCAAGTTCCTGACCAGAGTTAAATATTTCTTCGAGGTTTTCAAAAAATGACGACTATGACAACAACGATGACAACGATGTTGATGAACTTGTTGTGAAAGGGTTTTAATTTATTTTTTTTTCTTTTATTATTCAATTAGAGTTAATGATTATGATGAGAGATGTCCTCTATTTGAATGTTTTTTTTTCTTTTTCTTTTTATTTTTCAAATGAGAAATCGTGAGAGAATTTTCGATTGGAAATAAGGAATCTTTTGTAAAGGAAGACTCGTCAGATTTATCTTTTCTCGAGGGAAGTCAAGGCAAGGCTTAGCAAGGCTCGTCTTCGATAGACAGGCTCGATAAATTGGCCTTTAAACGTCGTACCCTATCTTCGACGAACAATCTCGTTTGCGAGGCACGAGCTTACGGTGGTCAACGAGATCGTACTATACTTCGAGAAGAAGCTAAGAAGAGAACATGCGTATGTATTCTTCCTTTATTTCCATTTATCTTTTTTTTTTTCTTACTCTCACTAACTCATTCCCATAAGTTATTCGTGTACGTGTTATATACCACATTTCGTATGCATCTACTCTCACGTTCTTATCAAAATCGATTAATCTTAATTGCTTTAACTTATATTTATTTGATCAGTATTTTCTTTAATAAATGTTTTGTTTATACAGTCCGATTCTGAGAACTTGAGGGACGGACGGACGAGGTTTATTGCAATTTTTTTTTTTTTTTAAAGTAAACTTGTAATAATTTGTGCACCGACCAATTGCAGTTGCATTTTATCGTTTTATCCTATTTGATTGTCTTTTATTATTAATTTATCCCTTTTTTATACCGACAGTAGAAAATGATTACTTTTTATTTGAAATTTTGATAGTTAATATATTTAATATTATGATTATTATTATTTTAGTAAATGAAATAGAAAAAGAGAAATATAAAAGTATTGTATATATGTGAAACTAAACATCGTCTTTGCTCTTAGGTCAGAGATAAAAATGTAGTCGAAGTAGCTTTTGATCTTAGCAGAGGACAGTGAAAAGTTGCAGAGCGGGTCCAAAGGTATTTGCATTGAATGTCGCCTGCCTCTCCTACCGGGAGGAGAGAAAGAGGAGCCCTCGCTAACCGCAGCCGATTTCACGTTACCTTGCCTCGAGTAGTCTTCTCCTTGTGTACATGAACATCTTATAGATTTTCTAAATTCGACCATAAATTTCTTAACAGACAATAAGTAGATACTATTTTATTTTATTTTTTTTTCTAATTCCTTTTTTTTTTTTTTGCTAGTTTTATTCGATGAAAGTTATTTAATGTTAATTTTTTATGAGCTTGAAAAAAGAAATTGATATGTACAATTGTTACTTGTTACTTATTGAACTTTAACCATGCTAGTTTGGTTGCATTGCAGCACGTTCACATGAGTTTATAAGAGATTCATAGACAGATCGAGAAAGTTATAAGAAACGTGGGCGGATGTGTACTACTTCATCGTAGTTCAAAGTACAACTGGAAGAACCAGTCATGCTTGGAGTTCATCTAAATCGAATGTTTGAAAATAAGCATATATACGGATATATATATATATATAACTTTTCTACATTATTATTAAACAATATTTATAATACTGACCAGTAAGTTCATCAGCATCCACATCTCTGGTAACCAAAACGGCGATTGTCTGAGCAGCTGGAAGTCCCCAAGCAGCAACCGATCCCACGGTTGAGAAGCCCTGCTGTATGCCAAAACTATCCTCCTTGCAATTACCTGCCGTTCGCGACCATTTTCTTGCGACTATGCACCACCATGCACAGATGTTGACCCACCTTTGGTAAAAATCAAAATAATTCAATTATTCATTTATATTCAATACAATTTGAATACGCTCATTGTAAATATTATTTATTATAAGAGCTTTTGATATAAAGTGTATGAGAACCATTACAGCTTTAACAATTTGATGGACAATTATCCCATGTGCTATGTGAGATTGAACAAGTTTGTAGGATTGAAGGTGCCTGGCTTTTGTACATTTGTTGATTGGTGCAGATGCAGGTGCTCTTAAGTGTACTGTTTTCGTTGCACGCTTCTCAACCCCTTAACTCTCAACTTCTTCTCACCCATTTTCTCTTCACACACATAAAGAGAGAACCCAATTGCGGTTACGAGTTACGAACCCCCTAATGGTAACCCAAGCAGCATCGTTTGCTCGCTCGCCATTCGTTTCTTTTCAACCAGTTTCGTTGACGGGGTCTTTCAAAGACTCCTATACCAAGAACTTCAACTAATTAATCACGCAAACCTTTGACGAGATCGAAAAATCAGTGAACGGGTCAAACGAGGCGCAAATACTTTTGCTTGCTAAAAAATCCCCCTTTCTTCTTCCTCTTTACCCACCACCTCTTCTTGACTTCCTTCACCTTTCCCCTTTCTTTCGACTGTAATGTTCCTCTCTCTTTCTCTCTCTTCTTTTTATTCACGTTTCTTATTTTCTTCTCAGTACCTCTCACAACACAACAACGACCTTCTTCACACTCCTGGTGAGATTTAAGATTCTCCTTTCGTCTCTCGTTTCAACGAGATCGTCGATCCCTTCTTCTTCTTCTTCTTTTTTGATTCTTTTTACCATTTATCTTATGCGAATCGACTTCGATGATCGATCGAGTATATTGGAAGATATTCGAGTTTGTCGATCGAAATTTATGATAAGTAGTGTGAATGTTTTGTAAGATTGGTTATTACCTCTGTTAGTTTTTTTTGCTGAATATTTGATTTTAATTTTAGATTACATTACATTTGTCAAATTTTCTAGCCTTGAATATAATTCTTATTTGATTTAACAGTTGACTAAAATATTAAAATATTCCAATTAATTATTGAATGAAAAATAAACTTAGGATTAGATTGGATATAGTTATTTATAATTTATTATTAATACGCACGAAATGAAGAGAAAGAGGGAGAAGAGAAGGAAAAGGAGTAGAAGGTGTGTATTGTTAATAAAATATTTCCTATCGAAAGGAAAGAAATATTATGAAGCATCAAGAAGAAGAAGAAGAAGAAGAGAGAGCGAGAGAGAGAGAGAGAGAGAGAGAGAGAAGAAGGATCAAGGGTTCGATTTATCTTGAAAGCCGTAAGGATAGCACGAAGTGGAAGGAGACTAATTAAATGTGATTGATCGCTGTTCGACGGTCCGGGATGTAATTACGTACGCACATACACATATACACACACAACTACAGTAAAAGTTCGTGCCGGAGCAGGTAGGAACGGAGAACATAGCTCGTAAATCATCCTACGAACATCTCGCAGATGTCCGTCGAATAAGAGGAAAAGTATTTTTTTTACTCCCTTTCTCTCTCTCTCTCTCCCTCCCTCTCTTTTTTTTATTCGTTTTAAGAAATAAAACCGAAGAATCGAAGTATCTGTTGACGGTGAGATTGCCGCCGTAGGAAATAACTTGTTGAGAAATGAAAAAAAAAGAAATAACTCGATTATACATTTACACGGTTATAATAAATTAAGAGACAATTTTTTAAATTATTTTTGTTTTTTTTTAGAAATCTCTTTCTTTCGAATGAATATTAATTTTATACTTTTCTTTTTCGGAAAGATTTTGTAATATGTGTTATAAACATTTTTACAGTATTCATAATGTAATATTTAATGCTCATCTTTTTTGTAATTTGTACTGTTTATTAATTTAAATTTATAGTATACTAGTAATAACGTGACACGTCATTTGTATCTATTAAGAAGATAGACAATTAACATATATAACTATACCAATTAAAGTTAATTCAAATTTTTACATTTGACTTAGATTTCAAATTGAAAAAGTTGCATGCATATATCAGATCATAAAATAGCAATGCATTTAAAGATAATAGGATGTAAAGAAGAATCATCATATTACTGTAGGAAGTTTGAAGGTCAAGTAGGCGTGTATCTGAAGAATGAGTGAGTGAGTGAGTGAAAGAAAGAAAGAAAGCAAGAAAAAAAGAAAGAGAGAAAGAGAAAAGTGTTCCGCGATCTCGCGTATAGCCCGCGGCATATAACCGTGCTGAGAGAAAGAAAAAGATCCTCTCAGTATCGTCTTGTATATCATCCAGAGTCTGTAAAACAAACATACGGTAATTTGCCGATAATTATTGCTTGGGCACACCCACCCCACTCTTCTCTTCCCTACCCTACCTTACTCTACCCTTTCCTTTCCTTTCCTTCTTTTCTACCCTCCCCATTTTCTACCATCTCTCATCTCGCAATTTCTTCTCGTCTACGCAATTTCCTTTTCCCTGAAATAATTGAGGAGGATAGGTGGAGGCTGGTTTTATCGATCGGGTTATTGGTCGAGTTATTGCTTCAAATCGATGGCTATCTTTGAACCGTGCACCACGAGAGAGAGAACGTATATCCAATGAACAGCCAAGGGAAAGGCTCAAATAACGATACGCCTACCGACGTGCCCCATGCTATCTTTTTGATCGTATGTGTAGGGTAATGATTAATTATATCCTTCATTCTCGATTGATCTCGACGTTCCAATACTTACATTCATTTTCGAATCATTTTTTATTAACATTTTCTTCAATCAAATTCTTCGTATATATTTTATTATATTCGTGTAAATGAAATATTTGTATTAAAGACAATTAGTATTGGGATCTCTAGCAATTGAATACGCTATCTGGTGACTAAATTCAATATTAGAGTAGATAGGTCGAATTGCTATGCCAAGCCCCTGCCAGAGATCCCAATAATGGACAATTCATTAATTTGATATAATTTGTAATTAATATCATAGATAATTTCCATAGCTACATTATTTGAAATGTAAATTTGTTGTTAATCTAAAAGGGTAGCGGGTAGATTCTTTTTTCATACCCTTAGCGAAAAAAGAATCTACTTCAGGGATGCGACCCTGCCCACGCGAGCCATGATTCTTCTCCTACCACCAATGATTGGGAGAAATCATGTCCTAACCTATAATCCTATCCACAAACCATCATAATTCCTCTTACATCATCACTTCCTATTCAACTTATCAACGCATCATCATTTTTATATTTAACTTTATCGAATGGAAATTGAAATTTATTAGAATTCTTGTTAAGATTTTTCTATGACAACGAATTCTATATAAAATTGTTTAAAATTATATAGCAAAGATAATAATCAAGCACCAAAATAATGATGATGATGATGATGATGATGATGATGATGATGATGATGATGATGATGATGATAGTCAATGGAATTTCTCGTAGTTAAAAGATAAATGTCTAATCTAAAGTTATAAGATATTTTAATTGACTCGTAAAATTGTACGAAACGTTGCTGCAAATGTTTGTTTAAAATCAAAATAATAATATTATTGCAAAAACTTTCATAATTTACCATGTACACCATACGTGAACGTTCAGTAACCAACCGAGAGTCAACCTTTCTGTTCTCTCTCTCTCTCTCTCTCTCTCTCTCGAGTGTGTGTTTGCTCGTCTTTATTTATAGAAACCAAACGAACGGTAGCTTACATATGCACACGATGTTTTTTTTTTCTTTTTTACAATTCTTATTTTACGAGCTGCTACACAGATTTTCATTTGTGTTTCTTTTTGTGTGTGTTTGTGTATTTTCTCTAAATTTATTTATTCGTAAAAAAAAAAAATCAATATTATAAATATTTTATTATTTAAAACGTTCACGTAGAGATAACATTGTCATCACCATTGATAATACAACATTTCGTACAATTAATTAAAAATCTTATAATTAAAAAAAGAAAAAAGTAGTAGGAGTTTGAGTTACCCAAAATACAGTCGTATCATTTGTTTGGAATTATTTATAAATATTATAGAAAATATTACAGTAACTTAATAAATAAAAAAAAGAAAAAGAAAAGTCTTAATATCTGAGATATTTGTTACAAAAACAAGAAAAAGTGAGAAAGATTTATTTGATACGCGGGGTGGTGTAATATAAAAAAAAAAGTGAAAAAGTTTTTTTCGAATATTTGAAAAGTGATCGGGCCGCTTAAGCGCGCGCCGAGCATGCTTAGCGAGTTGCGCATGCGCAATAAAAGAAGAAGCGCGTGCGTACCTGATGCCCACGTCGTCCCATTCATCAGAACGAGATTCGTCGAACAAGTTTTTGCTTTTCCAAGCAAGAGAGTAGTGTACAAGGAAGAAAGGTGGCAAGTGTGGGACCAGGACGACGATGCAACAACGACGACGACGACGATGCGACGACGAACACGAGAAAAGTGACTTTTGTCGCGCGACCATCGTTCACTTCTTTCTTTCTTTCTTTTTTTCTTTTTTCTTTAATCTCTTAGAATCTCACCCTTTCTCTTTTATCTTTTTTCAACATTGTACAAGTTAATGGAGTTATAACATCATTTCACCACAATTCAATCAACTAAACTTTCATTTCTATTACTGTTTAAAAAAAAAAAGAATAAAATTAATCCCTTCAGCAGCAAAAGTATTTTGAAGAAAAAAATGGCCACAAATAATCATTTTTTTTTTCAATTTTTTTTTTTTTCATAAAAGCATAGTT